CACCACTATAGATTGATATGTTTGACATAATGTTCAACTCTTTAATAAAGCACATGGCAACTTGACTTTGAAAAATGAAGTATGATCTTCCTTTGAGCTTAAATGAATGTTCTAGAGAGATTTCATCATTTAGAATTATTATTATTCTTCTTCATAAACTTCTTATTTTTATTCTCCAGTGTCTTTCTATCTTTTCATCTATTGAAAAGTGGTTATGAGAATTTAAATTTGACGATGTTGCTCGACTTGTATGCTAGTGACCTTTACTCGTTCATTCTTGTTATTCTCATGTTCATTATCCTTGAGCCTTTTTTTGAAAATTTATAGTTTACCAATGAATATTTTTACTTTTAAGGTTGCATTCAAATGATGTCATTAAGCTTGTCGTTATCTCTATGTACTCTGCCAATATGTTACCATCCAAAATGCATGGCACTGCTCTTTACTTGTTCCTCGCTTTGAGGCTTGTTATTTTCACATCAACTAAGTTTGAAGCTTGGTTTGGAGATGTGTGATTTATCAACAATTGTCCTTGCTTTTGAGGTCAAGTCAATACAGTCTATTTGGTCTATTATTTTCTCTATGTTTTGTTGACGTGCTATCCTATAGGGTACATCACAAAGGCTTCTTCCCTTTCATGATAGCTTCCTATGAATGGTTCATTTTTGTTATTATATAGGATTGGAGTTTGAGTCTTGCTTGAAATATTGACACTTTGTTATTATACATAATTTTAACTGGTTGAATAGTGGAAAACAAGGTAGAGACCCCTAGACTACTTGCACATACCAATGGAAGGAAAAACCATTATAAATCTTAGTCTTCTAGTTGATTTAGAAGTCAATGTGTTGACTTCTCAATTTAATGTTTGAGCTGATCGACTATGTCAACCCACAATATTTTGTGTCAACCAAAGAAATACTATGTCCACCTACTATTCCAACATATTGTAAAAATAGTTTGAAATCACTTAAAATTTGCTAAAAATTATTCAAAAACTAATTCATCCCTCCTCTTCATATTTTATGGCCTATTAGAAAACCAACATATAATTTGTGCCTCTAAATTGGGGAGATATGTATGTGGAATAGCCTTTGAAAAATGCAATTGTTGAGATGCTAGTCATTGACCTACTACTTAATATAATCAAGTTGTTTCATAGGGTAAAATCTAGTACCAATTATTGATTCCATAATAAACTAACAAATACATTATGATTGAGAGTGAATTGAATTTCTCACATGTTTTAATTTTTTTAATCATTTTAAGTTATTTATGTGAATTGTAGTTCTAGTGGATCAACATAGCTCACTTGAGTCAACATAGAACTTAGTGGGTTGATATAGTATGTTCATTGTGAAATATTTTGCCACATGTCTGGTGCATTCTTGTTATTAGATTTTCATCACTTGCTCTCTCTTGACTAAAGATGGGTTGGTACAATGTTTTAGTTTGAGACACCTCTTTCTCCTAAAGTGAGTTGACAAATGGGTACACCCTTTCCTTCTCCTTTGGTTTTTCCTCAAAATTTATTTATTTTGATCTATTTTGTCTTAGCAATATCTATTTTGACTTAGATCTTGATTTAGAAATTAGTGTATTTCAACATATTTTATTGCAATGTTTCGTACTTAGATTTATACAATCAATTTATTAACATCAAAATGAATACGTTTAAGAAATCCTTAGGTGAATAATTTAGTAAAATAATTAGAGAAAAAACAAGAAAATAAGGAAGCAAGAACAATCCACCACATTCTTGGTCCCTAGTTTAACAAGCTGACTAAGTGTAAAAAACTTCTCATGTATTCAAATATTATCCTTAATGTATTCCACTATTGTGCAACATAAAATAACCTTTCCTTCATTATTTTTTTTCTAACTCTAAAACTTATTTGAAGTTTTAAATTTTAACAATGGGTTAGAGTCATAGTGTTAGTAAAGACTGATAGTGCCATATTAAAGCTTCTAATAAGCTAAATCCAAGAAAGCATGTGGAGAAGTGATTACTTACAAGTAGTGTAGTTCAGTAGGAAAGAGAGAAGATAGCATAAATAGCTATGCTCACTAAGTACTAATGGCTTTTAATTTGTAGGAGATTAGTGAAATATAAGAAGCTTGATGGCTTTTTGATAGTGAATGTAGGTTTCATGCTAAATTATTTTAACATCTATCCATACTTATTTTGTATAAATTTGTCTTTACAATATTTCACCACTATTTTAGTGTTGGCTTTTGGAGTTTGTAGTTTTGATAATGACAGGAATGGGAAGAAGGTTAAATTATTAGTAGTTAGGATACCAAAATTATCTTGAGATATTATAGATTGACATAATATTTTCCTGCACCATAGAGTGATTGCTTGACTGATTGCATAATTAGAGTGTCTCTTTCTATTTTTAAGAAGAGAGTAAACTCACCTAGATAGATGATTTTTACACTAATGGCTAGAAAAGCAATCTAAAAGGGTAATGGGGTAAATAAAAATGATTAGAAATAGCTTACAATGAGCCAAAACGCATTAGAGGATAACAAGCATCAAAATTGAAGAAAATGTAGTTTCTTCTTCATGATTCTTGAAAATGATCAGTATGTTTAAAATGCTCTAACATGCTTTATAAAAAAATCTTGAAATTTCAGACTTATTTCACTACAAGATTTTTTATTTTATACAACTAAAGAGTCTACTCAACTAAGAGAGAAACAAATAATGAAAGCATCACATAAAAAAAGAGAAAACTAAAAGAAATGTATTACTATTTAAGTAGCCTTCAACTGTGCCATTGCCATTGAGAGATCATTATCTAGCCAATTCTTGATAGATTTAAAATCATAAAATAATATAAAAATCAGCCAATATATAATACAAATTCTTCTTAATTCTCAAGGTGAGGAAAATTCATTCAGAAATCAAAATCAGTGAAATTCTTCCAAAAGTTTAAGGGCCTCTTCTCTAGAAGATGCTTTTGCATCTTGAGGCCAAGGAATTCAGATCATGAAACCAATGCATTCAAGAACTATAAATTATTCTTATCTCTCTCTTTAGTACTTCTAGTACTCATGCCTCCTAGAGTTGTAAATCTTGATGAAGTTAGATGGTTGCTAATCTAGTTGCCCTCCTCAAGCTATGAATCTAGATAAGACTAAGTAGATGTTAATTAAGTTAACCTTCTAAAGTTTTGAATAAAAAATGAGTGTTTCTGAGAAGTATGGGTTGATCATATCCTTGAAATCTAGTGAAGAATAGTTAAACCTTGTCGTCAACAATATTAGCATTTAAAAAATCAAATTACAAGAATAAAAGAAAATGAGTACTTTTGTGTAAAATAAAATCTATGAAAATATAATAACACTATATTTTTTCAGTATTTGAGAAAGGATTTTTCATAAGAGATTAGAGAGGACTCTCAAGCTGTTAAATCCCCTTCACAGATGAGTTTTCACACTTCCATTAATTTGAACATTGAAAACAAGTGTTTTTGAGCTCACAATGTTTTCAAGTGTTCTCATCAACACTTAACTAGGTGAAAACATTTTCATTCCATCTTCAACTATATTGGAGATAACTTGTAAGTTGTTTCACTTTACTCTTGAATTTCTTGCATGTAAGGTATAGACATCTTAAGAATCCATTTTATATTAAGTCTGGGGCAGTGGAGTGGAATAACATAAGGGTCATTAAAGGAGTAGAAAACTATCCATCTTGTAGTGAGTCTAGGATTATCCACTGTCATATAAAATATAATACCTAAGAAGGACAATGATATATAATTATTGGAGGTATGCCAACACATTCATCTTTTCAAACAGTTGTGAATGATAGTAGGCCTTTCCTATTTACTCTCTTGCATCAATTTGACTCTATGCTTCAAGTAGTATGTATTGAGCAGCTAAGCTTGGTGTCCACCCCAATATTACTCATTTAATTCTCTATCTAGGTCTCAAATTCAAACATTGCAAGGGAAAATGTGCTTGATCTTAATCCAAGCTAGTTGAGAGGCTTGATTAAGTACTATAACAAGTGTTGGGCCTCATTAATCTATCTCTTATTACATTAGCAGCCTCTAACATTTTTTTTCCCTGAAATAGTTGTATTCCCCAATGTGAGTTATCAACACTAGTTTTGTAAGGTTTTTGGTCAAGGTGCGAATCCTATTAGTTTTTCTAATGGGGTTAGACCAAATTCGGGCCTTGAGAAATACGGGCTAAGCTTTAAGTATGCTCCCATTTAACCAGACTCGTAAACCACGTATAATGGACTGATGGTTGTCTTCCCACGAGGGAAAATTTTGGGACGTTTACGCTCGTAGACTGCAGAAAGCAGTGCAACTTGGACGCTTCCCCGCCACAGTGGCGGGTCGGTCTCCTCCTACGTGGCGATTACGGATGACCCAGACGGAGACGCGGAGAGCGCGGGGAATATTCTCTGGAATGTACTTTGGCAAGACCTGGCTTTCCAAATTCGCAAAAAACACCTGAAAACGTCACATCATACTTTATGACCCCAAACTATTTTAATTGTCTCCAAGCCTCAAATGCCCCTCAGAGTTTTGTCGTTGATCATTGTTTTCAGGGATCACAGACGTCAGGCGTCATAAATTTTAATACCCTCAAGTTTTGACAAATAGTTTATGGAGATGTTCGTCGTCAAAATTTCAGTTAGGCCCTCGTCCATGCTGCGCGGCCCCCGAGATACTCAGTTTTTTTCTCAGCCCGTCGTCGTCCTGGGCCAGCAGCGTTTCTTTCTTCCCGTCTCTCTGCCTGCCACTCTTCTTCACACCTGGGATGAAGCAGGCCATACAAAAGAGCGACGCCCGGTATCTCTGCGGATCCCCCTACTGTGACTGAAGATTGGAAGAGAAGCCGCGGCAGATGTTCTCCGTCGGGATCCCTGAATATACTCCCCTCCGGATATGAAAGTGGAGAAGCTCGCCGGTGACATGGGTTCAAAGAAGAGGGTCGTCGCACCCGAAGAGGAGGAGGAGGCGGAGACGCCCTATATGGGGGTGGAAGAAGACAGCAGCGAGGACGAGGAGGACGAAGAGTTGGAGGAGGACGTGAAGGCATTCCACTCCGGAAGGCTGTTTACTGAGGGAGAGAAGAGTACGGGAGGGGAGGGGCTGTACGTGCCTCCGCTCAACTTCGCCATGGTGGACTGTGGCGTCTACCGCTCAGGCTTCCCTGACACGGCCAATTTCGGCTTCCTGGAGACTCTCAAGCTCCGCTCCGTTCTGTGAGAGCCTTAGTTATTTTATCATGTGTAGTGTTTTGTCTTTCTTCCTCCATGTTCCTCTAGAGATAGGTTGTTTATTATGGCGCGTACTTACAGGCGGATCTTTTGCTCGTCTAACCCTCGTTGTTTAAGATTTCTCTTGGTGTTTTGCTTTTGTCTGTTGAAAATTCAAATATTTTCCTGTCGGTTTCGGGCTTAGGTACCTCTGTCCCGAGCCATATCCGGAGGCGAACTTGCAGTTCCTACTTTCAAATGGAATCAAGCTTTTTCAGTTTGGGTTAGAGAGCTGCAAGGTAGTGTTTGTAATGTTCTCTTCTCTTTCTCTTAGTTGGCATTAGATAGCTCCGAATTATTTGAGTGAACGTTAAGGCTTCGTAAATATTATGAGGACGGAGAAATACCTTCCCAATTGGTTTTTAACTCTTTTTTATCAAAGTTTTGTCGTATTTGGGTGCCTGTTGTCTCTCTCAACATTTTATGAACATTAACCTCAGGTAAGTTAACTCTAAATGCAGAAGCTTATATTTCATGCTTCTGATCATTCTGTGTGAGCCATGTTGGCGTTTTGTGAACATTATAACCCCCTAGAAAGTGAAATTGCAACGCATAGGGTGATATTTGTACCTGCTAATTAGTGTGCAATGGTTTGCATTGTGTGTGAGTTACCTCTGAGGAAAGCGTTGGATCTCCAATTGCTCAATTGTCTACATTATCTAGTAAAATGCTCAAACTCTATACCTTTGAATCAGTTAGCCAGTGAAAACCAATGTTTTTAGTTTCAACCCCTTACTTTGTATTGTATCAAGTTGATTCTTTGCATGATACGTATTGTTTTTGAAGTGTTCTCAATGGAGAGAATCCGGGAATACCACCAAAGACTTAAAACTTTAAACAACTTTCACTCGCTTCTCTTTCATTGATGTTGGTTTCCTCTAACCTCTGATTTAAAACAATAATTCGTAAGGGAATGCTGTTTTGTACTGGCCTTATTGAATCCCATTGCGTGCTTTCAATTTACTCAGTTACAGAATGAGGGATTCGATAATTCTTGTTAATTCCCATCATCAAGAAGTTGTATTAAATTCTTGCAAGTACACTCGTTGCATAACATTTTAAATCATAAATGCAAGAACCATGGTATTTAATCAATTATGAATTTTTCCTTAGTATTTTTCGGAAGAAATGATTTTGCCTATCTTGGGATCATTCCAAATGAGGCCATTTATTGTAGTTTTTTGAAGTTCATAAAAGGTTTTTATAGTTTGAATGAAGGCTAAGTTGATCTCTAGCTGAAGTGGAGAAGACAATAAAGATGGTTGGACCAAGAGTAGAGAACACAAGAGGAAAAAGAAGTGGAAAGATATGTTATTGTGCCAGAATAGTTGCAAGAAAGAATAAGCCAAGGTTCTAACCCATCAGATGACATGAACCCTAGGTTAAAGATGCTGAGATCTTTTTGATCTTGTGAGTTTTTTCATTCGTGAGAATAGGCCCATGCATAGTTTAAACATATGACAGACTTCTGCATATCTACGAACCCCATTTGGTAGACTTCTGCATACATAGAAAATCCATGATTTAGTAGTAGATAAAATAATTTAAAGAAGTCAACTACATAGTTTCCCTTTACCTCCCTAACATTACTTCCACTGCATCAATTCCCACTGCCTTGTAGCTGCTGCAAACCAGATCCACCGAAGCTCACTCCTTGTTGTCGGCAATATGGTATCAGATTGTCTCATCGAGTTTTTTCAGGTCCATAAGTTTGGGATTGACCTAGCCAAATTGACCTTATCTATTGACCTTGGATTGGCTGCTTTTCTTGTAGTTAAAATTATTTAAAAAATAAAAATAAAGAAAATAATAAAGAGACCATAAAACTAGTTATCAGCTTAACCTTATTCCTCATCGTGTCCATTCTTGTTGTTGAATGGCATAATGATATGAGGTCTAAAGTTACATGTGATGCATATTGATGCACTTGTTCACATGATGTATGGATGAGCATACCAATCTCCTTTGCATATTTGTCTACCTACTTCTTCAACTACTTCTAGTCATGCCTTGAAGGTCAAATATAACTAGAGTCCATCCAGCAAGCCTCCTAAATTTCTAGTATTAGCCCTTAATGTGTCGTTGTTAATGTTATATATCTAGTAAAATTGACATCACTCAGAGCATATACGCTATCCTTACTCCATAAAAATGTCTAAAATTCACTTTATTCCTTTGATTTGGAACCTCATTCTTGTTTGGACTCTGGGACACGACATCAATAAATTCCATCTCTGTTATCCTTTGATTCTCGCTTATATACGAAGTTTGGTCATCTAAGTTTGGATAAATATATAGAAATATTAGAAGCCTCTTTTTGAGGTACGAAATGGTAATATAGATTGTAAGTATCCTTGTTTATTCGAAATAGTTTTGGATATAGTAAAATAAATTTAAAATAAGATTAATTTTAAATGTGTTGTTTTATTGTCATCTTTTCTCTGATTGACCAAAATATCCGACCTGTTTCTAATGCTAATCATCCAAAAATATTGATATAATTTAACCGTACTTTTGAGCCAGATGCCTGGTATGCGGTGGAACTATTCGTATTTAACAACTTATAGAGTAGTCAAGTTGCCTGATGTAGGGACTAGGGTTGGAGGAGGATGAAGTGCTGCACGGTAAAGTTTTGTGTGAGCTGCATGCAGTTGGATGCCGTTGGCATTACTCTCCCCTGGCAACATTCCAGTCGCTACGATTTACACATTCAGATATCAGTGGTAGTGACAATGACTGCACTGTGTCTGTCTCGTTTTTCTTCACCCTTCTTGCAATCATATCGATCTGGAGTTTGGCACTATCGAAACTGATTTGGACGGGACTCCAACCATGGCCGAATTGGCGAATTTACGGACTGAATCAACCTGAAATGGAAAGATTGTGGACCCAATTTTTCTGAGGTAAAATATCTGGTGCAGTGTTGCTATTGGAAGCACTGTTTGCTCGTATATATCGAAGGAAAAAGGAAGGAGTGGAGGGGGTAGAAATTAGTAGAACCTGTGCTGATAATGTTCAGAAAGTGACAAATGACAGCTGCAGATCTAGGAAGCAGGTTAGTTGGCAACTGTGCTGCCACCAACATGCTGCCTCTGCCTACATCTACTGAGGGTGCCTTTTGGAGTTGGTCCGGAGGCTTTTGTTTCATTTAGGCATTGAATATATGAACTTGCTTAATGGTTTATTTCTCCAATGAATTTGATGCAATTTTTTAAAAATTTTATTTGAATCTGAATCAGGTGATCCAGAAGGATCAGATAATCCATCCATCCAATATTTATCTGAACCATTGAGCAGGACAGATCCAATACTTTTCTTCCATGCTTCTTCCTGTTACTGTTCAACTGCTGTCTCTCCTTTGTGTCATTTTTATTTGGACGTAGCCAGGGCAAGCAGAAGAGAATAATGTGATTTGGACCTCCATGTGGATGAATCGAGGCTCAAGTGTTGCTGAAAATTTTACGTTATTTTCTCCCTTATCAAATAGGATATCATGTAGTGAGGTTCCTTGTTTATAGTTTATCCTTTTGCATCTATTTGAAGTTTTAGACTTGATTGATTTGAATTTCATTGACGTGAAATCCAAGCTTTTTACTGCTCATCTTTGTCAGAATATTTGATGTTTTCAGTACCATTTTATACTCAATTTAAAATATTTGTATAGGAACCCTTTGTCAACATTCCAGAAGACAAAATTCGAGAGGCTCTCAAAATTGTGCTTGGTTAGATCATATCTAATGAGAATTTCCAAATGAAATTCATTATGCTTTTTTTCCGTTCTGCTAAGCATGGTCTGATCATCTGCTGCAGATGCCCGGAATCATCCTATTCTAATTCACTGCAAAAGAGGCAAGGTAAATGTCTTGATCGGGCTTCTGTTTTCCACTTCTGCTTGCATTTCACACTCTGCCTGAAACTTGTCTGTGTTTCTTTCCTCCCAGCATCGGACGGGTTGTGTGGTGGGATGTCTCAGAAAGTTACAAAAGTGGTGTTTATCCTCAATATTTGATGAATACCAGCGATTTGCCGCAGCTAAAGCAAGGGTTTCTGACCAACGGTTCATGGAACTATTTGACACGTCCTCCTTGAAGAATTTGCCCAGTCCCTTGACGTTGAGAAATGTTGGCAGTTTTGAGTCTCCCTACCTGGCACCTATCCATCAGTAGGCTGAAAAGTTTATCTCATTATGGGCGTGAACTCCATGATGGTAGCGGAAGCAGAGCGGAAAAGACTCCCGTCAGGCTTTGATTTTATCTTCTTCTTATTATTGCGTGTTGTGATGGACAAGAACTATAACTTTTCCATTTATTTTCCATTTTGTGCGGATCCCCTTAATCTAATTTTGGCTTTCGAATGAAATCTTAAATTTTCGGTGTATTTTTCATATGCATATGTGACTAGGGGTTTGGTGTGATTCTGTCTGAAGGGATTTTTTTCTTATCATCGCCACCAAGCTATTGGTGTAGGATTCTTTTGCCTATGTTGGATGTTCCTCAAAACAGCAAATGTTTATAACTTCCAATATCGAGAAATATTTAGTGGCCTCTTTTCTTTTGCCTTAATCAGTATGGTAGTTTCTTGCATCCTCACTGACCTATACTGAATTTCGCATGTCTAGCACTCTACTATGTTTACCAAATGCAAAGACTTGAAACATTGTCATTTTATTTCCTTCATTTCCTTTGCTCAAATTGGCATGAAATTAACGAAAAAAATATTTTTATTTATGTTCTAAGTGAATGATTGTCAGGGTTTGGCTACCTTAGCTAATGGAGAGGTTTTCCATGTAACTTAATTAATGGAGAACGAAGTTATGGGCTTGCATAAAAGTGGTATCTTGTCCACCTCACCCTCTGTCTTTCTCATCTTTTGTCTCTTTCCCCTTCTATCATTCTTCTTGTTCTGTATTGTTAACTTTTCTTGTTCCCTCAGTGGCCTCGTTTTATATGTCATGCATGCAAACCCCAAATAAATGAAAAAGTGGTTTATTTCATCATGATCATCATCATCTCTCTCTCTCTCTCTCTCTCTCTCTCTCTCTCTCTCTCACACACACACACACACACACACACACACACACACACTCACTCGCACGCTCATGCTATCTCTCCATCTCTTTCTATACTCATCCTCTTTTTACTTGGTACTTCATGTTTCATCCATCTAAGAGTACCTTCCAGTGAGACAATCTGATTTTGCTAAAGCAATAAGTAAAAGGCTTTTGGTTTCTAGAGAGTAATTCATGGCATGCATGGTGTGCAGCACTGTGTAATTTAGCAGAGAACATTTGAAGTGTTGATGACATCACCACTTGCCACCATTTGTATTGAACTTCAATGACATCACTACTTGCCCCCATTCATATTAGACTTCAATGACATGACCACTGGTCACCATTGGTATTAAACTTTTCTTAAATCTAAGTTCTAGGATTCCAATGAACATCTAGTGGTAAGCCTATTGAGAGGAAGTTTCTGAAAAGATTTGACTTGTTCCATCAATAGTGTTTTTTAATAATTTCCAATCTTTGTTTACAAACTTTGGTTTACTATAGTTGGTAATGGTATGCATGATTACGATATGTTCTTGATCGCCAATGAACTCGTGTCATAGGGGGTTGCATCTAAACTTTTCTGCTTCCACCAACCCATTCCAACCTTGATTGTTGCTTGGCCAACAGTCAGCAGTCTTGGTAACGTGTGGAAACACACCAAGACTCAAGTGATATATATTATTCACTATTTTAGGACTATATAAGGACTTTCTTCTCTTTCCTAAGGTGTTCTCCCATCATAGGTGGATGCCCTTATATCATGTAGCCCTGCTAATTGTCCCTATAACCACCTCAAGAAGTTATTGGGTGGTGTTGGTCATGTCAATGGTTGGGTAACCATCACCTTAATTGCCTTCGCTCATGACAAAGAAATAATCTAGTCTATGGTCGATGCTTAATATGTGCCCATGTCTGTCTACCTTTATGTTGCATTGTGTCACCCATAGTGTCTCCAAAAACTACACCATGTTGCTCAACAGCACGTGTTGTGTTGCATAGTACCATTGTGCACATCTTTGTATGTGGTGCTCAAGTTGTGTCCACACAATGTTAGTGTCATCTTACGTTATGATATGCCATTTAATGCACGTGCACCCCTATATATTTTGTGCTGTCGCATGTGCTGAGCTGTGACATGTCATGTTTATGTGAACATGGTTGTTTCCATGACCACCGAGCCTAATGCCAATAGGTCTTTATTCCTCACCGTGAGATGTGTCACAGCTTGTCTCGCAGAGTTTCGTGTTTATGTTATCTAGATAGGAAAAGGAGAGATAAAATACAAAATAATTAAAAAAATTATATTATATCGTGTTGGAATCAATAGAACAACAATTGAAATCAAGTCAATTTCTAATAAATTGAACGGTGAAGGAGAGTAGAGTAAAGAAAATAGAAAATACAAGGCGTTCCAAGAGGGAGGAAAGGAGGAACAAGAATTGGAATCAAAGAGCTGATTCACCAAGTCTCCTTCCCTCTTTCCTATATTCTTCATCTAAAGGGTACAAAAACGTAAGACTGCTCTCTTATTTAATTGTGACTCTCACATAACGTAACTAGAACGAAAAGTAAGTCTTGAACTCGATCATGAAAAAGAAGTCATAATCTATACCTCCCCCTCTATCTACATTAGCCTTGTCCTCATGACCAAAGTCATGAAAGCCACCTTGAAAGGACCTTCCTATCCATAAGATGAGCTAATCTATTTGTGACATTGTTTTGCTTGATCATCCACCTATCAGAAGTTGATTAGGGCATCTCTTATTTCTTTTATCCACGTACATGTAGAGTTGTTTGAGAAACTTTATGCTGACTGATCTTGGGATTTAAAAATGACACAAGAAACATATGATTAATCTTTGTCGCTCTAAGAAGGCCAAGTTAGAAAGCATTGATCGAGTTCATTTGATTATTCAGGAAGCAAGCTAAAAATAGAGCTTAACTTACAATTTCCTCTTTTAAGAACAGAACCCAATCCATGTAATGACAGCTGAACGAATATGAAACTTCACACTTTTAGAAGTCAATATTTTCTCCCTAAGTCAACAAGTTATTTCATTCTAACTCTAGCATAAGAAAGATTTTCTTATAGTTTTTTCAATATTATATCTCTTTTAATTCTCCATGCACAATAAACTTTAGCAGTCCCTTCCTTCATGGAGGAGCCACTTCATACAATGCCTTAGATTTTTTGAATGTCAAGTTGATTGACAACTCTACTTAGCCCAAGGCAACCGTCTCCTCTAACATTTCAGCTGCTCACTACAAAGGCACCTCACGTAGATTGATATGCCTCAACTCAATGACTTACCTTCCCCATGTATTTGTGGATAAGAGGCAAAGGTCTACCTGAAAGATTGAAGAACTAATTCCAAAAACTAACGGTAAAACTCTCGTCCCTATCATTGGTAGTCTTTAATATTCTAATCTATATTGTGGCTAACTCCTATTTGATCTATGAATAAAAATGATACTTGTTGAGATGGTGAAAGACATTGTTAAATAATCTATAAAACTTTTAACCATTTTTTTTTAAAAAGGCAAGCATTGAAAACTATTGTATAAAAATATATTTTTTTCTCATTCATATTTTTATTGAATTTAAGTCAATAACCACCCATTATTAAAAGAGTCAAGGGTGAAATGGAAAATTGATGGCAATGGTCTTTATTTTAGGAAAAATGATTTTTGTGTTGACAAAATACATAAAAATATAAATAATAGTTTTATACTAAAATAATATTAATTTTAAAAAAAATAATGGCAGAACATTTTACAACACTTTAAAAGCTCTCGTGTAATTTGGTTGTGTGACCTATCGTTTAAGTTTCTACTTTTAGGTAGGGAGTTTTATGCACAATGAAAAAGACAAGCAATTATAATTAGTAACTTTATATCTCTAGCATAATGTCTTAAACACATTAAATCATTAAACCTTTAGATTTCATGCTTTTCAGTCACTTTCTTGTGGTAAGTGAGTAGTCTTGATATTAGAAATGACCAAATGAGTGCAAGAGTGACTCAACTCATGAACAAAGCTCTCTTCAAAAATCTAAAAAGTGTGTCAACACTAATAACAGTCCATTTATAGTGTATAATCTAGAGTTTATGCATATAGTTTGATTATTTTTAGTAAGCATCATGCCTTGAATTCAATGTAATACACTATTATTAGTTGATTAACTTCCATGTAAGAGGGATGATTTATACTTGAAATGTGATTTACAAACATAGCCCATTATACATTTTAAAATGTGTTTATACATAGAAATGTGTTTTTGTATGGACTATTGATTGCAAACTGGTTTTAAATATATATAAAGTAGTGAACAAGATTTGAATATCATTTGAAATTTATTAAATGATATTTCGAAATTTTAGAAGGATGAAGGAGGAGGATCTTATTCATTATGGACTTATGTCTAATTTATATTTATGAGAGGGACGTTGGATATTTCAAAAGGCATCACTTTATCTCGTGTGAGATTAAGTGATGAAAAATCTTTTAAAATATCTTATGTAGGTCCCATGTGAGAACCTTTCTAATAAATGAAAATCAATTGTAGGAAATGACAACAGAGAACGTGGTGTACCAAATCAAAATGACTGAAGAAAGAAAGGATGGCTAACCTAATTTTTAGGACTTGTAACTCATCTCAGCCATTCGTGAGGCTTTGTCAGAGGAGACCAATGGAGCAAAGAAGGGAAAGCATCAGCACAATGACCCATATATACTCTTTTCTGACGTAAAATTAAGGTAATCTATTTACGATGAAGAGGACGCCAACAAACAAGTGTAGAACTCTTTTAGATCTTTCTTGAGTGGAATATTCTTGTTTGAGTTTCTTTTAGAAGATTGTTGAGCATATGAAGAAAGTTTGTTGTCTTTCTTTCTCTTCGCTCCAAAGACAAATATTTGGAGTCTATTTCTACCTTTTTCACCCCATGAAATATAGTAGAATTGTCATTTTCTTTCTCATCCTCCAATGGAGTACGGTTGGGGAACAATTATCCGTGGATTCTGGTCCATCTTGGTGAGCATCATCGTGCAACGTATAACCTGCTCAAGCATGCAGTAGGTGACGGCTACCACAGCACAAAAGAGAGCAACCTTCTTAAGGGTTAGTCATTCTCATTTTACTTGTAGATATAGGTGCATCATCCCCTTGAGTAAAGTAAGATTTATTTCATCAGTTACTCTTATTCTCCTCCAATCATCACATCTAAACATTCATCCTTCTTAGTTAAGTTTGTTGCAATCATACATTCGAATTTCTAACTATCCTTGTGATCGACCCAGATATTACCAATATTTCATCTAGTAAGTTTTATGACAATTTTCGATTTATAAATTTTAAAAAATCTACCTAGGCTTTAATTACAACGATAGTTTTTGGAGATCAAACACATATGTAGGAAATGACTCAAATCTTATTCATTACTTAACCAAATGAATCAACCCTTTTATGAGGGCAAAAAGATAATTTAAAACTAAAACATATTAAAATATCTTACAACTCTTGATTCCATTGTAAATGTTTTAATTAATTTGATGAAAATTTATTTTAATTTTCACATATAATTTTCTATAAATTTTATTAGTTCTGTTATTCAAAGTAAGAAAGAAATTGACAAGTAGAGAAAGGCATTTAGGGGGCAAAGTGCTATAGTGTAAAATTGGGATAACATATGTTGTTATAATCCCTTCAAAATTAGTTGTTGAAACTTACAAGTAGCCATAGAAGAATTAAGAAGAGATGAGCAAGGCACAAATCTAATTCACTCTTTAAGTAATGAATCTAGAAAAATGTTTTTGGATAACACTTTGCTCAGCTAGAGCTATAAATTATAATATGAGGTTTGCTAAACCTTTATATAGACTCATTATGCTAACTAAAATTAGTAGAACCTAAAGATGTAATGATAGTATAGATGAAGAGGGACAAATCCTTATAGCTTTTGGTTCTACATACTGATAGGAAACTAGAAATGAGAGGAGAATCAGATAAAGGCTAATTTACCTTCTTCTTTTTGTTCTTTTAAAAGCCTCCATCAAACCAATAGAGGATGCACACCTCATTATGTGCTATATGTACTTGTAAATTATGTGTTCACTTAAGATATATAAATTAGATGGTTCTTCACATTTAGACCAAAGATCTAAATTTGGCTCCTATTGTCATGAAAGTAGAGGGGAAGGCTCCTAGTCCCTAGAAACTAGAAAGTAGAGAATGTTTCTTATTAGCTTAAAACTTTTGCATTAGTTTGTCTCTTAGTGCTGAAAACTAGAGGTGATTGTAAAAATCCAACAGTCTAATGTAATTATTTTTCTAATAATACAAGCAAAGGGAAAATGAGAAATCCCCTGGAGAGTGAACTTGGATAGTCAGACTAAATGACAATAAAATATGTGCATTGCGTCCATGATTGTTCTCATATCAATATGTATTGAATCAGACCAAACGACAGTCTCACCATATCAAAATTCTATGAAATCGACAACTAAAGACTGAAAAGCCAGGAGGGAGATTATCCAAGTGAGTATAAGATATTGGAGTGGCAAAATCTTTGAAAGTCAAGAAATCTGAGGAGACATAGAAGGTTGAGGCCAACACAACCCACACTTGGGAAAGTTAATATATACTGATCCTCAAATTCACTGGTAATAAGTATGTTTACAGAGCAGAAACAACATTGGGTACTATAGCTTCGGTGACCTCATGTAGGGATGAGAGCTTCTGTCAGGATCCACAGTGGAACAGGCACAAGATGAGGCTCCACAGCACCGGTATTAATCCAGAAGGGGGCTACCTTCCTTGATGAGCACAAAGACGCTGCTCCCATCACCCCGCGAGATCCTCAGCTCGTCGTCGAGGTAAGTGGTCAGCAGCCATGACTCTGCATTGGTGTTTGTTATTGGGATCTTCAGAGGGGGGCGATCGGAGATGCTTTTGGCGACCGAGGATGCTGCATCCTGAATGGACGTGATGATGCCCTTGAATGGAGAGAGGTCCACGTTCTGCCCAAAAAATTCCACCTTCTCGGGCACAACAATTGAATCCGTCAACTGGGGTGTGCCGACAATTCCCTCCTCAAACTTGATCTGCACACCCACAGCAGAGTCACAATCTTCAGACATCGTGAAGAGACCAGGAGGTGACGATATGAATATACACGAAACACTTGCCAGCCAGGAATTTCTACAGAGCGACTGAATTTTGAGAGAAAAAAAAAGAAGAAAAGATTGGAAAGTGGATTCCCGCAATCTTCAGCATGAAGAAGCCAATAAAGATAAAGTACTGCAATCTATCAATTTTTCAGCCCATTTGCTCTAGACACTGTCCGGTCAGTCTAGCTAATTGAGAGTCAAACTCTCTGGATTTTAAGCCGCAGTGGAAATTAACCTTTGTTAACCAAAAGGGCTAATTTTGCAGGAAGATTTGACGGTTTGCACAGGAACCAGCGAGATTGAAGGAGAAGAACAGGCGTGAGTGTGCTCACCTGAACGCGCTTGGGGCTGCGGACCTCGAACTTGGCGTTGGTTGAGACGGAGGTGGTGGCCAAAGGCCCCGCAAATCGCACGGAATTCTGAACCGTGAATGATTCCGAATCGATAGTCTGCGAAATCTCCTCCACCTTCACCAGCTGGGGAACCCTGTTCGTCGCTAGCAGGGGGAGCAGCCCCGAGAACGACGTGTACCTGTTCGCCATTCACGACAACGAAGACTTGAGAATCCGTTCGAAAGGTCGTTCATTCTTCGGTGTTCTGATCCTAACCTCAGAATTGTCTGACACCGAACGAACTCGGGAGATATGAAACGGGAGAAATGGAAACTTACGCGAGGATCCACTTGCCGTTCAGGAGGGAGAGGGCCTCCGTTGGGGCTGGGGTGGGATTTCGGGATTCCAGCTGCGTGATGAGCTCCACGATCTCCGCACGCGTCTCGCTCGACACCTTCAACCCTCTGTCTGTGCCGTAGAGCAGCTCCTTGAGCTTCGTCTTCAGCTCGCCGATTACCGCGTCAGCCGCCGATTCCTCTGCTTCCGCCACCGCTGCGCCCGCGCCCTGAGGCCCATCCGGGGCTTCCCGACCCCACTCGTCGTCGTCTGTGACCGCGCGAGCCCGGAGGCCCGCCGCCCGCCCGCCGCCCCGAGGGAGTATGCTGCCCGTCGAGACGCCACTCGCGAAGTCGCAGGAGAGCTTCAGAGCTGGGGAGCGGAGATTCGCCGCCGCAAGAGTTGAGCGCGAGTCACGGTGGCGATGAGAGGCGGAGGCAACGGGGAGGGTCTTGACGGGGAAGGCGTGGCAGGGAGAGGCGCCTGCCATGTTCCGCAGTAAGCCGCTCACACCGTGTCAGGAAATCAGGGTCCTTTTCCTGCTGTGTGAGGGTGAGGGTGAGGGAGAGGGAGAGGGCGAGAGGGAGGCTTCCATATAGAGCTCGGTGGACTAGTCTCCACCAACTTCAGACGTCTCTAGAAGCAGGGCGTTCCTTTTTCTTCGAAAAATAAGATTTTTTGTGAATGCAGTCAGTTCGTCACACCAGATATTTCCCCCTCCTCCCGGCCACGGGCGTCCGATTCGCTCCTCCGAGGGAGACGAGAGAGCGAGCGACGTCAACCGCCATCCAGAAGCTTCCACGTCTTCGTACTCTCTCTCACCCACCGTCTCTCGCCCTCTCATCACTCTTGTCGTGATTAATACGTGGAGCTTTCAACGGCAATAACAGGTTCCACTTGGGCAGATCTTGCGCTCGTTCTTCTTGGGGGGGGGATGGAAGGAGGCGGCCCTGGCGGTCGCGCCGACACCGCTTGCCATGAGAGGAAGGGAAAAAATTCGAGCGTCTTTTTCATGCTTTCTTCGACTAAACGCCTCCAGTATAATTTCCTCTTATTGAGAAATAAATATTAGGTTTGTCGAGAAAAAGGGAGCCCTAGGAGAGAGATAGCCTCGGCAGGAGATCTTGATCCAACCTGGGCAAGAGACGTTCGATCCCCCTTCTCTCCCATTCCTTTCGCTGTACCACCGACGAATGAATTTTTTGTTCTTTCTTTAGATTACTGCTGCGTAAGGATCACCGAGTAGGCCAGGGCAGATCTGATCTCTTTCTTCGATTGCAAGGTGTAGTGCTCCAAAATGTCGTTGTTTCTAGATACTGTAGGTTGAGAATGTTCCCTCCTTTCAACCAGATCGCAGTTCTTTGAGCGAATTCTGCCTCTAGAGATCACCGGCCAGTTTGTCGGTCAAGTGTGTGATGGCCAACTATAGTCTACCTTGCTCACTCTGCCGTTTCCCAACCTTGGCCAGCTAGAGTCAAGTGAGGTTCTGATAGGTACCTAGGGTCGAGGATAATAAGACGCTGGGAAGTTGATTGACTGCAAACAGCTTATTTCACTAGAGCTCAAGCTCGGTTACAATCTGACGGGGTCACACCACACAGAGAGTGAGAGAGTAAGAGAGTAAGAGAGTGAGACAGGGAGAACAAAAAAGGAAGAGTCCTGACAGGGCTCTTCTACATCAAGGGGAAGGGGGAAGGCTAGTTCGAGATAGCCGATCTCTAGGCTCCTCAAAGACTCCGCAAAAAGACCTCCTCCCGTTCTACTCGTTGTTCTGATCTTATAAATTGATTTGTCAACCATTGGGTCGACATTTTTATCAAATTCGTTGAGTCCCTCTGAGAGACCCGACTACCTCATATCTGATCTTAATGATTCGGCTGCTCCATATCTTATCTTAACGACCTGACCATTTCAGAACATAGCTGTCAAGGTCTAATGCCATTCGACCATCTGCATCATTTTCTGCCACTAAACCATTGTCAGTCTATTATCTCATACATGTCTTTGGGTATTTACTTTGAGTAGCATCTCTCTACTAGGATTGCTGTCCATGTGGTAATAGATTTGTGACGAGAGCCTCAACAATACTCTCTCCTAAGAGATTCACCTCATCTTAAAGAGAAAAATTGGTAGTGAATGATGTGAATTTATGTGGCTTCAGTCATAAGAATGTTCTTCCACTCAACTTGGACTTCTAGTCGAAACAAATTGTGCTAGACAAGTTGAATGGTCATGGGCTCGATGATCTATGTGAGCTCTTTGCCCAGGTGGAGGGGACTGATGGGTTCCGGAAATGGGGCTCTCTCTACCTTCTTGAGTTGTGAGATGTGGAAGATTGAGTGAAGGCCGGCAGAGGCAAGTAACCTTCTAGGCACCGACTCAGTTTGTTTAAGGAACTTAAATGGGTCGAAAAATTAGGGGGGGCAGCTACTCATAGGGCCACTGTGCGAGGAACTATTGGTGGTAGGGATGAAGCTAAAGGAAGATAGAGTCTCCCAATTGGAACTCTATCTCTATGCCGTCAATCAGCATGTGTCTTCATATAGGCTTGGGCCCAAATCAAATGATGCTTGAGTTGGTTGAGCATTTGGTCCGATTTCTACAAGAGTCAGTCAACACCATCCATTTTTTCTGAATGAGAGTTATACCAGAGAAGGACGGAAGGCTTGCGCCTATAAATCCGAAAGGAGGAAATCTCATTGATGCATTGTAATTGGTGTTGAACCAGTACTCACCCACAATATCTAGCTGGTTCATTATTTTAGATGATCCCCCACGAAGTAATAGAGGTAAGTCTCAAGACTCTATTTTGATGACCTTCGATTTTCCTTCTATATATGGATGGTAGGAACTTGTTCACTAAAGTGTGGTCCTGTGAAGTTTGAAGAGTTCATGTCAAAAGAGGGTCGTAAAAATCCTATCTTTGTTGGTGAGGATTTGAAAACCCATAGAGGCGCACTATGTCTAGAATGAAGATCAATGTAATATCTCTCACAGTGAAGAGAAATCGTAGAACCGAAAAATGGTAGTTGCAAAAGACTTTCAGGTGCCAAGTATTCGGTCTTGTTCCTCTAACATACTTGATAAGTGGCCACGGACTATCAAGTGTGATTCTTCATGCCTCTCTAGTGAACATTCTACAGTAGTTGGAGATGGGTCTTCTAGAACCCCAAATGTTTGCTGTTTGGAGAACAATGAAACTCCTATAAAAGCTTAGGAATGAAGGTTGATAATTAAGAGGTGAACAATCAACCTTCATGCGTCTGCAGGGCCACCTTCTCATAGAGACAAGGTATTTGGAGGTTGCTTTTGTTTTCTTCTATAATCCACTGTAGGTTGACGAGCTCCAGCTGGGATAGTTTGGTTACTTGTAGGAGAATGCAGTCCGATTCTCAAGATAGAGTGTTAGCAGCTCAATTTTTGGCTCCAACATTAAACCAGATTTCCAAGTCTAACATAATGATCGGCAAGAGCCATTGTTAATAATCGGTGTGAATCTGTCGTTACTACATCAAGAATTTCAGACTTCTCTAGTCTATATATATGATGAGTCACTTACCTAGCAATAATGCTTTTATTTCAATATGACGAGGATGATTTGTAGCAGCTTCCTTTCATACATAATCTTGAGTTTCTCAATTGATGACAAAGTCTTGCTAAAGTATGCGGTCAGTCTCTTTTTCTATATTAGGACCACCTTGACTCTTCAGCTAGAGGTGTCGGCTTTGCACTCAAAGTCTTCTGAGAAATTTAGATGGGCTAATATTGACACCGTTGTGAGGGCTACCTTGAGAGCTTAGAAGATGTTTTTTGCATCCAGCCCCCACTTAAAGTGAGAGCTCATGTTGTTGTTTTGTAGCTGGTATTGAACCAGAGGAAATTTGAGGAATCCTCAGTGTTCTTTGAGGTTGACAAGCATTAGCCACCTCACGACTGTCTCCACCTTCTCTTTATCTACTTCAACATCAACTTTCAATACACAGTGTCCTAGGTAAGTGATTCTAAATAGGCTGAAAGAGTACTTACGTAGGTTGATTGAAGTGGTGCTCATTGAGGACAGCGAACACCTTGACTAGGTGTTCCTCGTGTTCCACCTCTATCTTATTATAGATTAACAGCGTCAAAGAAAACTAGAATAACCTTTGGAGAAATGATCCAAATAACTTGTTTATCAAGGACTGGAAGGTGGGCGGCACATTGGAGAGGTTGAATGACATCACACAAAAATTGAGGTGCTCGAGACGCCATCTTTAGAATGTCTTTGAGGCTAACCCAAATTTGATGGTACCTTGACTGTAGGTCCAATTTAGAGAAGATCTGGGACTTGTGGAGCTTGTCCAGCAATTTCTCAATGATCAGAATGAGACATTGATTAGGGATCGTGATCTTATTGAAAGTTTTGTAGTCAACGTAGAACCTCCACAATCCATCCTTCTTTCATACGAGTAGGGCTAGACTAGAAAAAAGACTTTTAGACTTTAAGATTGTTAAATCACCCTCGCCTGCAGCATTTCCCTAGTCAAACCTTTCAATCTCTGTCTTTTGAGAATATGGGTAATAGAATGGTCTGATGTTAACTGGCTATGCTCCTATAGCTAGGGTGATCTGGTGGTCAATATCCTGCTATGGAGGCAAACCTTGAAGGTCCATGAAAGGTTCTAAAGATATGCTATTCATCTTTTGCTCTTAGGGTGAGGAGGTGTCGTTTAGTGTCGATCTTGTGACCTAGTACAACTCGTAGAGAAAATTATCCTATCTGATTTTGGTGGTAAGCAATTTTAGTATATAAGCAGTCATTACCTCCCATAGATCAGCATGAAGAGTGACCATTTTTGCTCTTGTTTTGAATGTCATCATCTAGCACTCAAAGTTTAGCTTGATTCTTTTTTGGGTCTGTAATAATACATAAATAATACATTATATATGAGGTATATTGTATCTATCTCACGATTTTGGAACACAAATTCAGTGATTTATTAATGAATGCACATGGTTATGATATGCATTGGCATTTACATGTATTCTATATGTTTCTTATTGAATTAGATATTTTTTGATATTGGATACACATCATGTGAAAAACATGCAATTCTTTATTTTCTAACTATTTGAGGTTTAGATGTTAAGGGTGAGTCTATAGGTTTTCAAGGAATCAAGGTCACACTTGGGCTTTAGGTGGAGAATTATGAGCTTAAGACTCATAATCACATAAGGAGAAGTGAGTAAAGTGGCTTAGATGAAGAGTTATGGGCATTAGGCCTATAAGAACTTAAAGGGCGTGACTCAAAGAATGGGCTAAAAGATCTATTGTCCACTCAAGATAAAGACAATAGGGATTTAGCAGTCAAGAGTCATACTTATCAAGAGATACACTAGAAGATCCAAGGGCCAACCACAGAAGAAAGGAGTAGCATAATCGTTAATTTAAAGTTTAATCTTATTTATAAGAGTGAGGGAGAGAAAGAAGGGCTCCGTCTTATACATACTATGTATCGAACAATTAAAAGCTTAGCTTATCTTAATAGAACTTTTGGCTTTTGTCATCTCAAAAGAGTTTTAAGGTTTCCAAGCTCCACATCTTACGATCAAAGATGTGTCTTTATTCTTCATTAGATTATTCACCTTAAATAAGGTTATCTCCCATGGCTAGTAGTTACCACCCCCTCCTAGTGGAAATAAGGAAAGAGATGTGGTGATAATTAGGTTGGTTTCAAGATAATCTATGATTCAGATGTTCTTAAACATAGATCTTGATTAGCATTAGAAATTATTACACAATCCCTTTGATTGTGCAGCATCGTTCACATTTTGGAAAATTCATTTTAACACCTAAGCCACCTTTCTTGCCCTTTTGTACCTAATATCTTCTCCTTTGTGATTTCTTGTTGATTCTTATTGATCTTAAATAGCAAAGTAAATAAATCTCATTCCACAATTCTCCAAGGAGATGACCTAACTTAGTCATACTAAGTTTGCATGAATCAACATTTAAACTTCACTTGAGATTAATTTTGATTGAGTGAGAGATAGACATAATGACACTATAAATCTTAACTCATCAATATACATCCATTTGATCCCAATGACATCATCCACGGTGGTGAGTGGCAAGACTAATAGGTCTTTGAATTTGGTCAACACTTGCAGATTGATAGGAACTCTTTGAAAACTTCTTAATCCAATGACCTTCTTATTAGTTCTCATACTCACCTGATAGGTTGCAATAGTAGAAATTAGAAGCTCTAGATCATTGGCTAACCTACAGTTGATAAAATTGTGTTGCTCCACTATCAACTAGGATGGAGACTAGCTTCAACTAAATTTTGCCCTTAAATTTTAGTGTTTTGACAATAAATTCTTTGAGTGAGTGGATTGTGACCTCGAGGTTGCTCAAGTCCTCCAAGATGGTAAGTTGCAGCTTTCCATCTCCTAAATTGTTGATTTCTCTAGAAGGAAATCAGATTCATTTAGGGAGAGAATGATCAATAATTCTCTCTTACACGCCCTAGCAAAAAAAATTCAGGCCCTATGCTCGTTGTGACTGAATCTTAGCTGCGGTGAGATTGATGGGTATTTTCGTTTATGCAGAGCCCCTTATTCAGATCCATGGGTATAACCTAAAGTGATTGCTCATGATCCACCCCCATCTATTCGACAAAGGATTCCTAGCTCCGGAGCTCTCTTGGGGTTCAGCACACCCATTTCTACTTGAATATCTTTCCACAACCCTTTTAGGAATGTGCTTTCCAATATTTGTTCACTGATATTTTTTATTAACCCTGAATATAACTTAAATTCTTCCTTGTATTCCACCACTATTCTATATTGCGTGATCTCCAAGAATTACAGACAAAAGGTAATGGTAGGTTTGAGGCTGAAGTGATTGAGAAGATGGGCCTTCAAATCCTCTTAGTTGCAAAATGGGTGTACGTCATTAGCCCATTTAAACCAAAAAAGAGGTCGCCCATCCAAGCTGAGGTTGGCAATGGATAATCTCCCAGATCCTATTAGTTTGTAAGTAGAAAAAATACATTTCAGCCTTAAATATTCAGCTCTTGGGGTCGTCCCCCATGAATAGGGGAAGTTCTAATCACCTACCTTGCCACTGATCTAGTCACTGGGATTTGACTCCCATTCGTGAGCCTTGCAGATGGGAATTGAGGAGTCCCAGGAGATCCTCTTGATCTCCTTTGTGGCTTAAGTCAAGGTTGATTTGTCCATAACTCAATTCATGGGTGCTCAATTTACCGACGAGTCAGGTGTGGTCATCTTCTTACTAGTCCGTGATATGAGGAGTTCCATTTGCCGATGGAGCCCCTCGATTGCCTAGCTCATGGTACCTAGCTATTGTCGGTGTTCAGCTTGATTGGTGGTGACTTGCAACTTGAATCCCTCAATTTCTGATTGGAGAAGATCCACTTTTGACTCATTAGGCTTAGCGGCCATTGAGGACCATAAGGGCTTTGATACCAAATTGATAGGTACCTTGGGTTGAGGGTAATAAGACACAAGAAAGTTGGCTAAAGGTTGACTATGAACACATAGAAAGTGAGAGAGTAAGAGAGTGAGACAGGGGAAACAAGAGAGGAGTCCCAACAAGGCTCTTCTAGATCAAGGCGAAGGGGGAAGGCTAGTTCGGGATAGCTAATTTCTAGGGTCCTCATAGACTCCACAAAAAAACCCCTCTTTCTACTCGTGGTTCTAAGCTTATAGATTGGTTTTGTCGACCGTTGGGTTGACACTTCTGCCAAATCCGATGAGTCCCTCTCGGAGACCCAACTGCCTCGTATCCAATATTAACCGTTCCGGTGCTCATCCGATCTTAACGTCATGAGCAATTCAGAACCTGGCCGTCACGGTCCAACAGCGTTGGACCATCTGCGTCGTTTTCTGCTTTTGGGCCGTTGTCAGTCTGTTGTCCCATGTCCGCCTCTGGGTCTTTCCTTTGAGCAGCACCTCTCCGGCAGGATCGCTGTCCACGAGGCAATGGATTTGCGACGAGAGCCTCAACAGGTTCACAACTGTCCCTCTTGAACCTCACTCTGACCCGGTGGTGCCATCAAACATTGGCATCCGCGTGCGTGACGCTCTTTTGTGCGTGCCATACCTGTGCCTCGTCGTGCCGCCATGCACCATTGGGACGGGGACGGTTATCCGCGGATCCTTTCTTCGACGTGCTCAGTTTTCTGATGCAATGCCAACAGCGAGGGCCTCCCAGCTCGCGGCGGCGTTTCCCTATACGAAGAAGCAATTGCCTCGAGATGTCTCGAAGACATGACGAGGTAGCCTGATTGTGAGCGTAGCCTGTGATTCTGACTTACACTTTCCTTTCAGGCCTGACTATGAGGAAGAAGGTGAGCAGTTGTAGGGCCGGGCTCGTCGACGCTCTTAATCGTTAACGATTCCATAAACAGAAAATGGTAATGTAAGCTTGACCAGGAGGTCTAAACTAGCTCTACGGTAGTGACATGTCGCTGACGCAAGCAGGCACGGGTTTGCTCCGTCAGGTTTATAATGGTTCGTTTCCTCCCGCTGCCTACGAAGGCGACGACGAGGCCGGCGAGAGCGAGCGGAAGGCGGAGGTTTATACTGTGCCGGCGGGAGCATCTCGAGAGATGAGTAACAAGCGGGGTGCCGACGGCAACAACAGTGGTTGCTCCTGCGATGGGGGAGCGGTCTTCTCTTACGACAGCTCTTCCCTGGAGCTGGAGATTCGAAGGCTTGAGGCGGAGAAGGACCTTATTGAGGCCCGCATCGCCCGGCTGCGGCTACAGGTGGAGGGCGGGAAGTCAACTGGCGGCGTTACCGCTGGTCGTATTGATGATGCGCGCAATAAGGCGGCGGGCGAGGAGCAGGAGAAGGGGGAGGGGAGGGCGAATATGAACGGTCCCCCCTTCCCAACGGCGTCTGTCTGCGGTCTGACGCCGGAGATGATTCATCGTTACAGCCGGCACCTTCTGCTCCCGTCGTTCGGTGTTGATGGTATGCTTTCCTTTTGGGATTGCTCTCCCCAGTCCTCGGCACTAGAGCTTTTCTATGCTTTCTGTTGACGCACCGTTGGCCATCGATTACTCGCTGTGTTTGGAGTGAGACACGACGTGATAAATTAGCTTGTAAATCCCAACAGCCATCTTCCTGATCTGCTGTCGACCAGAGCTTTTTGTTGTTTGTGGGGCACTTCTTGACTAGAAGAGGGATGTACCGATTCTTTCATTTGGTAAACGTCATCTTAAGGAGACCATTGTCTCATTCTGGAACTAGGTTGCTTGTGAGTCGATGGACGTCCGTGAGTACTGGTCACATGTATGTATCGGCCAACATCATCGTACCTCACCATACATTGCGAGATGGAACCACTAGTATGCTTGTTGTGCAGTCCAGTGTGATTCTTGTGCGGGCAATAGTCTATGGTTCGGAAGCTACTGTGCTCAACTGGCTGTGAAAGCATTTAAAAAAATATTAGTGAAGTGAACTGTACATATTTTAAAGATTCTGTCTAGTTAACATTCTTGAATATCTTACTTGCCATTTGCTGTTTATGGAATAGTTCTCTCTGCGTTTTATGTCCTCCTTTCCTTTTAAAGGACATAGGAATACACGTCACTGTAAACCACATCAAGAACGAGGTTTTGATAATGCTGGGTGGGGTTGAAAAGAGAGATTAATGTCATAAGCGAGCCGTAGCATAGAAAAAATTCACCGTGTCTCTAATTTGGGTGATAGATTTGTTGGTATATAAAGGCTCGTCATTACATGTCATTTGATTATCAGACTTAATCTTTTGAGAAAAAGTTTAAGAAATGCACGAAAGATGATGTGGTAGATTCCATAAAGAAGAAACAGTCCTGCAAATGTTCAAAAGCATATTCCTCGAATATACTATTGAAAAATTTGCGTTGGCTAATGAAGGTCCGTTATGTGATCTTTTGTACTGGAGCACAACCACTGCAGATGGTGGTGCATATGCCACTAGGCTGTAGATTTGTGCATGTACTCAACCTCCTCTATCACAATCGGCAGTGTGTACAGAACTCTTTTATAGCAAAAAGATTTCTGTACAAAACATGTTTAGTTTTCTCAGTGATACTAAAATAGGCTGCGATATAGATGGGAATTCGAATTTAAAGATGTAAGAATGGTACTGGAAGCTACAGGGATGGACTTAAGAACTTGTATTGAAGGTGATATTCTTAAAATGTCTATGCATTAGATAAGAACTGTTTGATTTTGTGATCTTGATTTCTTTATTTTTTTAACTAGCATCCTGATTTATTTGAAGTAGTACATTGTGCATAGATGCCGAACTTCTCTCCTTTCTTTGTATCTTTTTAATGTTGCTCAGTGTTAGTGCAATGCCACTTATGACTTTTAACTGGACAAAAATTGATGCTAGCTATAAGGTGTACTTTTCTCTCTATGTTCTCTTCAAATTTAACATGGTCTGTGTTTCAGAGGTAAATGTTGGGCTCTCATGTCCTGAGCAAATATATCTTCAATAAACCTACAGAAAGAAAATCTTTTAATGTATCCATGGACTTTTTTGGTGTTATATGTATGCATAATGTGTCCATAGGATTTAACATGACTGATGAAATTCCCTGGGTGTTTTCTCATTTTAAATTCGCTGAGTCTATGCTGCTATCCTCTACTCTAGACTGAACTATTTATTATTTTCCTGTACTGTCACTTCATGAATTCGTTGAATCTCAACTGGTGGTTTTTTTTCGAGAGATAATATGACAAGTTGATTTATAACTATTTTATTCTATCTCTGACGTGCAGAGCTTCTTGATCATTTTCGTTTTGTGTTTTAGGTCAGCTCAATCTCTCAAAAGCCTCAATTTTGGTGGTTGGAGCAGGAGGCTTGGGGTCACCCATCGCTATGTATCTTGCAGCATGTGGTGTTGGTAACGATCCTCCTCTATGAGAAGAGTCCTTATTTCAATGTTTGTTTGTGGTCAGTACTTTGATATTTTACTATCTAATTAGTAGAACTCTGTACACGTGTTTTTGTAAGGCGATTTTCATAAAATGGTGCCTTTATATTAATCATAATCGACTCTTAACCTTAATGGATTCCTAGTATCCATTTGAGGCTATCCAGCTATTTAAGAATCTACTTTTTACTACCGAACTGTGATATTTACTTCTGTCTAACAGAGATTGATGCTCCAAACTGAAGTCTCTCCAAGTAGACTCTCGTTTCCTTGTAGTTGCGTGATTTAGTCCTTGTTTAGTTGCTTGACAAAAATTGAATTGCCTTATAATTATGTGCTTATCCACTTTCATTTCGGCGAAGAGTGGGGGCACTTCCATGGCATTCTTGTAAGGTGTTGGCAAGACTAGGGCTCTAACAACATGAGCATGATGATGCTCCAAACTGTTCTGCATTTTGGGTTGCTTAGATGTTAAGGAAGGCTTTTTGTTGCAGAATTGTGAATAGTAATATCAATGAGATAATAAATACATATTTATGTATATTTTAAACTATTTTTAACTATTTTATTATATTATAATTTTACATGATTATTTTTAAATTACATTATTCAATTGGTAACTGCTAATGTTTTTCTTTAGTTCATTAAATAGTTTGGCTTATGGTTTTAGTTTTTTATGTTTATAAATATTTGTCCAATTTCTCGGCTGTCTTATTTTTACACTAGTACAAAAAATATTTTTCTAATATATTTAAAAATATATTACCTTTGTGACCAAAGCAAAAAACAATGTAGTATCACGTTGGTCTCCCTGGTTGCCTTAAAAAAACCTTGGCACAGACCTATCGCAGCTTTTATTGGAGCTTCTAGCTTTTATCTTAAGATGGGTTGTTTTTGGATGTGGCCAGTTGTTTTTTTCTCTGCTAGGCAGTACGTAATATTCAGAGAGGCATGTCAATACTTTTAATCAAATGTTATCATGGCAGCTTTTGAAGGGGACTGAGATCATGAGGTTACTGAAAGCTGACATGGAGACTGATGGGTAGTTCTCAAACCCAAATCGCTCTCATGCATCAGAACAAGTTGAAATTCAAACCCCATAAATGTATTAGTTCTATCCCCTCTAAGCTTCAACAATCCAAGTTACCTTTAAGACGAAATAGTTTCTTCCATATGAGTAAATCAGGACAATTATTTTCCCATCAACTTGTAACTGGGGAGAAATTTGTTGTTAAACTTGTTCAACTTTAAACCTGATATCACTCTAGACAATAAACAGAGGAATCGTGTTTCTGAGTGAACATCTTGAGTTTAGGCTGGAGAAATGCTATTGATATTGTAAAAAAATGTTTCTTGGTATCCCCAGGGGAAGTAAACTTGATGGTCCAATATATCAAATAAGAGTGAGTAATAGATGAAATAAGATTTCAACGGTGGTGCAGCATCAATCGTGAATAGTGATCAGTGTGGTTAAAACAATAGGATTAGAAATGTTTCTTGTAGCTTGTAGGAATGCTGCATATAGAAGGCCAATATGTTCAATATCTGGGGAATAATTGGAGATTTTCTGAAATACAAAGAAGCGTTCTAGGTTTCTGAGTACTTGTTCACTTTTATCTTTCTCCTGCAATTCCATTACCATTTATTCTTTTCTCAATAATTCAGATTGGTTTCCACTTTGCAGTGCTCTTCATTAGTGTTTTGTTGTTATATTGTTTTCTGTAGGGTGCTTAGGCATTGTTGATGGTGACAATGTTGAGCTTAACAATCTGCACCGACAGGTATCTTGTGATGTGCACCGACAGCAATTTGATGAACTTGTGTAGATATATCCTTTTCATCCCTCATTCTTTCACTTGAGGACGTTTTTCCTTCGATTGAATCCATGGATGTAATCGTTTTTGTGCACTTTGCTCCTGAAATCTTTTCTTCTTCTAGTGAATGATGGATTTTGATGCACAAAGCCTTGCTTTGTGACATCACGTCTATAGATAATTAATGGATTCGTGCTCACATAAGATAACTTTCCCATTTTTAACTTATTTCTTTTGTTGACATTTGTTATGTGTTTGTACTCAACTTGTAAAGCATGCTACTCATCTCAGAATCAGCTACAAATTGCTTGCGAATTGTACATAAGCCTAGACATATACCTTGCAGGCTTGTGTTTTTTCCCTGTTTCGGGATCCAATGGAGGTCATTTTGTTGTGTGAGGTTGAATCACAACAATGAGTATAGTGTTTTCCTACCTTCTATCTAGTCTTACAGCAATTTCAAGAAACAATAGATCATCAGTGCTTATTTTTGTTGGAAGTTCTAGGTCATAAGAAAATACTATAAAAGACAGTATTTTTCAAAAATTGTGTAGGAACTCTCCCTATATAATGGGTGTTAGAGGTGAATAAATCTTGAGGTGGTTTCCGCCATTCTCCTCTATCCTCCGTGACAGAGGTTTTTCTCCGTTTTCAACAATTTTAAGTGATACGACCATTATCAGGGACTCAATCCTCCCTTGTATCCCAGTGGTCCGTTGAGTTTTGTAATTGCCACATTATGTTGCTAGTACTGTCCTAAAATTTATGAGTGTTGAAAAAAACCGTTGTTTCCTACTTGGTGTCAGAATTTTTCTAAAGAACTACAGATTTGGAATCTACAATTCAATTTTCCTCACATGCTGACACATTATGTTAAGATATTCGTGCTAGTAAGCTGCATCTCCCTCCACCATGGATCAATTAGTAGATTTTCTATCCCTTTATTGGATTTAAAGACCAAATCTGAATCCAAAGTCTAAATAGCACGGCTTTGACAATTTTGTCACCACATGGCTGAAAATCATTGCTGGGAAAATATTTTCATCAGAATGAGGTAATTTCGTAAAATCATCACAACGCTTGTCCTATTTTCATACTTTAAGGACGTAATTTCGTAATGTTTCTATGACTGGAGTAGAAATATTAGAATCATGAATAAGAAAAGTTGGACTTGCATATCATTTTAACATGTATAAGTTTCTAAAGTGATACAGAAGTTCATTCAATTGGTTCACCGTTCCTCATTAAACACCGGCAAAAGGTTTTGCTAGTACCAACTGCAGTTCCTCTCATATGTCTCTGGTGAGGGTACATCTGCCAACCTAGTTGCCTGTCTTATCTTATCATTCCAATATAGCATACAGTATGACATAGAAAAAGATGTAATGCTTACAATCTTGAAAATATGGCATTTCATTGATAACATTCTACATCATGATAGTTCTTAAACTATGTTTCATGCTTAATTCATGTACATCAATTGTATCATCTTAGGCTCAACATTTCATTTTATATGTAGAAATAAACATAAAGAATGAGCTCCATCCTAAAATCCCAAGCTTATGACATAGCATCATAATTTTCATGCCATTGGTTGGTTGAGAAGAGACTACATGACATTAAGTCTTAAGTATGCTACCCTTGAAACAATATCAACTTTGGTTTTGTGATAACTTTGCCACTGCTAACGCAAAATTGGGTCATCATAAATAGATGGCTTATTGAAGGTCCATAAGGTTCTCCAAACGAAGAAAATGCAGTGACCAGAAAGTTGCTACCCCAAGGCCTGCTGTGACCGCCTTTAATTAAGGAAGGAACACTCCGATGTTAATGTGACGCATAAGGAATTCGGGGAGATGTGCCTCTGCGTTGACATCCCTAATCCGAAACCTAATTTTTCTTTGTTTTCACTGGCCTTATTGCCCGAAAAAATGAATGGAGCCAACCTGGACAAGGGGCCCACAGGCAATACTACCTAGTATGCTACTCCCTGGAGTGAATATTAGCTCAGCTGGGGAATGGCTCGCTGTTTAGTTGCTGCTTAAGTTTAACAGTAGGCTATGATTAAGCCCATATGTAGCTATTCTCCAATGCTAGAAGCGTCCTCATGTGATGCCAATCGGTCAAGGAAGCCCCATGTTGATTGAGGAAGAATGAAACCATCTTTGGAGTAAACTTGTCAGTTTAATGCATATGCTTAGAAAGTAAAGGATTTATATAACAATCTCTTGGTTATTCATCGTTTTCTTATTGCATGACTTATTTTCATTTCAAATATCTCATTTTTTTTTTGAATATCTTAAATAGATTATCCACACAGAAGCTTATGTTGGAGAACCAAAAGTCAAGTCAGCAGCAGCAACCTGTCATGCGTATGTTACTTTCTTTTCCTGTGCATTTGCATGGAAATTGTTTACATTGAAGCTAGTGATGATGGATGTAGGAGGTTACTTATACCTGATGGAAAAACATTACAGATTTTACGTTCTCTAAAAGCTTTGCTGTTATTATTTGTGGCCTTTGTCTGATGTCTGTTGCAGTTGTATAATTCAGGATTAATTCTACAGTAAGGGTGGTCGAACACAGAGAGGCATTGCTAGCCTCTAATGCTCTTGACATCATGAGCCAGTATCCTTGGTGTACCTGCTTAAATCATCAATTTTCCTTAAATTAGTCTTCTCGTAAACATTCCTTATAGTTCTCTGCCTTCCTTAATCCTAACATTATCAAAGATATGATGTCATTGTTGATGCAACAGATAACCTGCCAAGTAGGTATATGATAAGTGATTGTTGTGTAGTGCTTAACAAGGTAAATAAATTATTTATTAGATCGTGATTTTTTTTTCTATTTATTGATATCATTGAGTTATTTTCATTATTCATAGGGCACTTTATATATAAAAGTTCAAAATTCAATGTATTATTCTTTTAGCAATGTTCTATTAGTTAATCTCTGTTATTTGGCTTTTATATCTCACCTGGCCGTGGAAGTATGCTTTCATTATTCTAAGATTAGTAAAATGAAATTTTCAAGTTGAAATAAATGCTACAATTTGGCCAGCGATTATTGTAGTGTCTACAAAAGAAAATATTAGCAATTTTGTACAAACACAACCCAAATACTTTCAAATTTCCAGTTGTGTATAGTCTCCACCTTTGGTCCATCTAACTGTTATAGATTTTGGTGACTATGTCCCAACTCCTGCCTAACCAACTGACAGACTGCATGATGACAGAATGCAACCTTCATATCTTGTTCGGGAGGTTGGAGACAATGCTGATAAAACCTGTTTTCTCACGATCAATGATACAATGATGGGCTCGAGTGGATCACGCCATATATTAGATTGCATTTAGCTTCATTTAAGTCATTTGAAGTGAAATATTTCATTATTAAAAACAGCGGAGGAGCAACTAAATAGATGATATACGACTTGCAGTAGCAGAGCTTCTTTTCCTATTGGGTGGCACCAAAACATTTAATTTGAAACTTAACCCTAAAACGCAGACCAACAAAGTAAATGGATGTAGAGGGTGATACAACCCTAAACAGGCTGTCCTCTTTCACTTATGCGAATAAGGCGCTGCCCTGTGGACTGAACAAAGCAACCGTTCATTTGAATATGTTATCAGTAATCTAAAAATGAATAAAAATCTGTAGAAAATTTATACACATGTTTTTATGCTTGATAACTATGTTTAATACTTATTTCATACTTTTCTTCTTTGCCAATCTTTTTCCATTAAATATGCCATATTGTGAGGCAGTGATTACTCTCCTTTCCTTTTCTTCTTACGTATTTCTTCATCTTTCAGCCTCTTGTGTCAGGTGCAGCACTTGGTCTAGAAGGCCAGGTAAAGTTTTAAATTTGTTTTTAAAATCATCTTTAATATTTACTCTTAAATTTACTCATTATTGCTCCTTTTTTGTTTCCTGAACTATTCTTTTTCATGTTTTTAGAATTGATTCATTAATTCTTTTTTATGATAAAAGTTCTACTTCAACGATGGCACCACTAATGTTTCTAACATGCAGCTTACAGTTTACCATTATAACGGGGGTCCTTGTTATCGGTGCCTTTTTCCAACTCCTCCACCTGCCACAGCATGCCAGAGATGCTCTGACAGTGGAGTCCTTGGTGTGGGTAGGTTTTAAATCCTACCTATAGGGACACTGTCCATTGTTCTCATTTATCTTATTTTTTGGAAACAACAGCAGCAGAGAAAGTACCTTTTGTCTTCATTGCTTTACTCTTTCAAAAACGTACCTTTCCAAAAAGCGTGAATGGCAGGCGATTTGTGATTGGAGATTCACAATCTGATGGTAATACTGAATGCTCCCTGATACACGATCAACCACGCAATAGACTGTCGACAATCTATGCTGGGCCTCCTTGACGTCAGGCATAGATCACCTTTTTAGTTTTCAGACACCAGTAGCTATCACTTTAAAACCACTGATCTCAATTAAGTCTGATTTGCTATTTGTTTGATGTTAGAAAATAAATAGACGAAATTTCAGCTCTGAGGTAGTGATATTTGAGAAATAGATCATTGGCACTTTAAAACTATGTGATCTTTGCTGGATTTCTTTCTTCCAGAACTTCACCTTTTTTCCCTGATATTTTTGTCTGTTTGGACTCTGGTGTCAATTTTAGTAGAAAACTCAGTTCTTGATCAGAACATCTTGTATGATGGAGGCCTTACAACCCTAGAGAAAGTCTCATCTCTATCACACAATTTATCCATCATTTGTGAAATTTGCAAGTATTTCCTTCGTTTTTGACAGAAATATCAATAAGCCCAAAGCCAATTCATTTTTTTCCGCTTCAATAACTGGTAGATCATGGGTTTATGAAAAGATCCTTTTGTGGAAAATAAAAGTTACGCATTCTATCATGTCCAAATGAACCAACACTGTTAGTATGAATGTATCTATTCGTGTTATGCTATCTGATCAATGATGTGAAGCATAGTTCTCTGACAACATGTCCCAACAAGTTAATAGTATCATTCCGAATGAAAGACTTGATAAGATGAAGTTGGTGAATTTCCTTGTCAGTCTGTCTGAGAGCAGATTTGTTAACACAGGTTTCTTAGCACCTGTCTGGAAAGCTTTGTTGTTTCTCCATCCTCATTTAAGTTCGTGAGGTTCCACATTGATTTTAAACTGATGATGAAGTTGGGTGTCACTACATCTTCAACTCATTGGTTCCTCTTGGCAAGTTTGCTGCAGTTTACTCAATAACCTTCCAGTACATTTTTCTGAATGTCACATTTCCTTTTTTGGATATTTTTTATCATTCTTTGGGAATATATAGGTACTCTATCGTGTAGTGAATTTATACGAGCGGTGTCTTGTTCATTACTTTGAACATATTTATGAATCAGTTGACTGATCTCATTCTTTTCCGTATACGTTTTGTATAGTTCCAGGGATAATCGGCTGTCTTCAGGCTCTAGAAGCTATAAAGGTTGCAAGTTCGATTGGTAAACCATTATCTGGGAGAATGCTTCTCTTTGATGCCTTGTCCGGACATATTCGGATAGTAAGCCTCTTTCGTTGTATTCTTTGGACTGTCCATTTTACTGTCTCCAGAGTACTGATGTTTGGTTTCTTTTAACTATTACTTATCTAAAATATCTTTTCTATCATTTGTCATTTTTTATGTTTGTGAGATTAAAAAGAGCATTGAACTGTAAAACAGATATCCCCTTAATGATAGATGAAATATGCCTGCATTATTTTCGATTGTTTTAGAAATATTTTACGGGTGTTAAAACTTCAAATCATTTCACATGCGCTTTAACCTATATTAATTTAATATGCTTTTGAAGAAAACTCTGCCGGAATTTTTTGATTTAGAATATGTAATGTACTGAATTTCTGACCTATCTTCACATGGTAAGGGTGTCAGATTGAGCCTATAACAGAGGCACTGTCACTCTTACCTATTAGGGTTTCCATGACCAGGTGGCTGTTGGTCTTAGTTAATTTGAGAAGACACGATGTCCTTGAAACCAGGGTAGTGCACAATAATTGTTTTAAAATTTGTTGATATCTTTCTTTGTATTATTCTGGTTTGATCATATTATATGCTTAGTAATTGTTTCAAGTTTCTATTTGTTCACAAACTCAACGGCACAAGTTCTTCGAAATCCGCATTGCCGTTTTGTTAACGAAGTTGCAAATCCCTAGTTTTACTGAATTTGATCGTTTCAGTATATTGTAGTTCTTCCAATATGGTTTTGAGGGTACCAGATCTAGCCCTCTGATGGAACCTTATTAGTTGTTCATTTGTTTCTTGCTTGACTGGCCAGGTTAAGCTAAGAGGCAGGTCATTGAACTGTGATGTATGTGGAGAAAATTCAATGTTCACACGGGAGACATTTCAGTCCTTTGACTATGAGAATTTCACGCAATCCCCATTCTTCCCCTCGGTAATTTTGCGTCCTGTGCATTGTATATTTTCCTGTTTTCCCTTTTTGCATTGTTGGTGGATAATTCACTTGTTTGGTTATTCATCTATTGTCTGTTTTATTTTCTAATTCAACTTTTACTGCAACTGTTTCGTCAATTCATAACATTTTCTGCAAATATACTATTAGTGATCAGGTATCTACTAAAATATTTGTATTTAGGAACAGCTTATCTGAGCCTGGATAATCTAAGGGATTATCTTGTGTTGTGTACAAGAGTTCCTCTTTGATATGCTTAATATCACGGTATAATTCAATGTTTCTGGTTGTGTTCTGAATTTGATGTCATCTGTTGAAGTAAAAGTTATGATGTTGTAGAATATTCGGCTCATGAATATTACTCATTGCAGATATAAACTTTTTCGGGCTGTGTGGATCATTATGAGCTGGTTGCTTTAAATTCATTTTAAGGTTTACGAAAGTGGTCCATTCCTGTCTGATCCTCATGCCTTCTGTTCCCTTCCGGCACTGTTCACTCGATTCCTGTCGACATATGTCATAAATGAAAATTCATTCTTTATTCGCTATTTGTAACTCTCATTCCAATTGAAAGAAAAAACATTATGACGAGTTTCTAGGGGAAGACCGGATGTCTACTGTTGAGTAATGTACTGTGTATGAACTCTTTTTAGTGATACTGATACTCATCATCCTGAAAATGACCTTTTAGGGAAAAACTTTATTGTGATTATCCATCTAATGAGGTTGATATGGTCAAAGAGAAAATGTACTTGTTTCCATGGTGTCCAACTTGATGCTTTGCTACGAAAGTCTACACGTCAGTGGATGCGACCTCCTTTGACAAGATTTTTTCCATTACGGGATGGACATTTAACTTAATTTGTGCAGTTCATTATTTATAATATCATAAGTGATATAATAATAGAGTAATAGCTTATGAGATAAACATTTTCCTCAGTACATAATTTTTTTATGTTAAATCTTCATGATTATTCTCATTTCCTACTTCGTATTTCTGTGTAGTCAAACGAGGGGCTACAGTTACTTCCGGACACTGATCGAATCAGCATTACAGAGTATAAAAAGCGGGTTGATAGCAGTGAACCACATATCCTGGTGGATGTTCGCCCAGCCCACCACTTTCAGATTACTGCACTTACCAATTCTATCAGCATTCCTCTGTCCTCTTTGAAGGAAAACTTTGCGGTGATTGATTCAGCAATGGATGAAATCAAGCAAGGAACAGGGTTAGATGCTTCTATATATGTTATTTGCAGACGTGGAAATGACTCCCAAAGGGCTGCTAAGTTACTCCATGAAAATGGATTTTCTATTGCAAAGGATATTATTGGGGGATTAGAATCATGGGCTCAAGAAATTGATCATAGCTTTCCAATGTACTAGGTAGAATCTAAAATTTGGTGAGAGGAACTACTGACTCTATTTATGCAAGAGATTGACTTGTCACAGTTCTCAAGACCTAGTTTTTATGTGCACTTATAAGTTCAATTTGTTCAACATCAGGTTTTTGTTGGAGAACGGGTTCATGGGTGCAGAATTTTTATTATATGTTGCCCATGTGGATGAGGTCTGATTTTTTGGATTTGGCAAGTGGGCTATGTGGAAGAAAAATGTCATGATTATCTTTACAAAAGTTTCGCATGATGATCATGCTTTTTTGGCTATTCCGTAGTGTTTGATTTTGATGGTCTTTATAAAAGTTTCTATTTTGATGGCTATTCCCTAGTGTTCTATGCACAATAGTATTGTCACATATTGTGCAGGCTTTGAGCAAAGTCTGAGTTGAGTTAGGAATTTATTATATTTGTTAACTCTTTTTTTATTCAAGGAAATAAGTTGATCCACTGTTTGTAAAGTTTTGCTATTGTTATCATTTTAGCATTGTGTTAAAATTGTTAAAAGAAGTATTATATAATAAAATGCTAAAATGATAACACAAGTTATTGTGTTATATCTAGTTATCATTTTTATTCCAGGACTTTACATCATTTTCAAGGTTATTTATTACAACTTTACTCAACCAAAATCTCAGAGTTTGAACATAAAAGGTTAACATTCGTACTGAAGGAACAAATGAAAAACTATTACTTTTCTGTTTTAGGATTCTCAATGATCATGGACTGCCATTAATTGTGGCTAGGTGTACTCGAGACAACCTAGATTCATGAATTAAAGCAAGTGATGCCTAGTGGTGAGGCCTTTCAAATAGTTGGGTAGGCAAGTAGTGAACATGAGTCTTGCCTCAAGAGTTCATACAACTTAGCTATAAGACTTTGTAGTGACTTGAAAACTAATAAAAATTTGATTACAAAACAATCATGTCTATTTTTGGTTCATCTAATTGTCTAGATTTGACTTATAATTGATATTATAGCATCTACTTTTAGGAAGTTCAAATCTTTGAATAGTTTCACATGATTATTCTTGTAACAACTTTTGTAGGTTGTTCAACTTGTAAATTTGTAGATCGCCTCTTTTTAATGACATAATGAAAATTTCCATTCAAGCTACTAATTGAAGTATTTGAAATGTCACATCTTAACTAACACAAAAACTAAGCCAAACATCACAATTCAAAGAGTAGAAAAAGTATTATATTATTTTTTCAAAAAGTAAAAAATAATATAAGAATGAATTGACTTGTAAAATAAAAATGTAAACTTTGATTAATTCGTAACCACCTACAAATGTACTTTACATATCAAGGGTGTTGCAAGTGATCTAGAAGTACATCATAATGAAATTTTCTATGTGGAGTGAAATTAATCCCTTTTTTGGTATGTCTACTTAGTTCATGTAAATCATCAATAATTATAAGCATTTAGGTAAGATGCTTATAAAATTTATGACGAATCAATAATTGGTAAGTCCTATCTTTTCTTAGCTTTTGTCTAAAATCAAAGGTAATGCAATTAGACAAACTCATGGGATCATTGATGAACATGAAAATAGGATAAGTAAAATGGTTGAGACAGATGAGATTGTAAAGGAAGTCAATTATTCTTGATATTGAAGTGAGACAAAAGCTATTTATTTATTAGGAATTTCAAGGACTTTCTTGTGAGAAAAAACCCAATTAAAAATACTATAATCTCAGCTAGACATATCTTACATAAAATTGTGATAACAGAGGACAAATGCATTCACTTGGAATGCAAGAAACTAAGTTCTTTTCAAATAGATTATCCACCACAAGAGAATAATATACACCTAAGAATATCTTCCTCAATTAGAAAGGACTGATGAGGACGTATATCATTAGCTCATCACACAAATTATGCGGTTGAAATCAATACATGAACACATGATCTTTCAGTTGATGTTGTGTCTAATGGATTTGAAGAGAAACCACTTGGACACAAGAAATGCAAAGTTGATGTCAAAAATAATATTTGAGTGACTAGACAAGTATCAAATTGAAAAAATTTGAATTTATGTAAAATATATGCTCCATATTTGTAATGTTCATTTAAAAAATTTTATGTTCATGAAAGAGGACATTATTATATATAGGAAATACAGAGCTTTTTATTCATTTTTTAACTTTTTTTTATCATGATAAATGTTTATTTTATGTGGTAGAGTAGGATATATACCTTATAAAAATCTATCAAAAGTAAATAAAGATAAATTTGAGTACCTAAATAAATACTAATGATTCCAAAATCCAACTTTGTGAAAAATCATTTAGGTGCCTGAACTAAGTGCGTAGTCTATTTATTTATGCACTCAATGTGGTACTAAATCAATGGGTGTCAAAATCAAATGATTGAAGAGAAGAATTAGGCAGTACCATTCTTTCCTAAAGATTTAGGATAAGTTTCAGGAGTTGAAGATTCCTATAGTAGTCTAGAGGGAGGGGTGAAATGGACTTCACTGAATTATCATCTGGATGTTTAAGATCATTGCTTTGTATTATTCATGAATTTTTAACTGATTAATTGTATCCTCATGTTCAAAATAATATTCACCTGTATTTTGTGTAGTGAATAATCGACATAATTGGATTCATTCATTTATCTTATGCGTACATGTCATCATCAAAATTCAATTTGTTAATTAAAGCGCTAATAATTATTTTCTCAGCTCATTAAGTGTGTGAGATAGCATTGTTGGCACTAGTCTTTAAGTTGATATGTCTAGTTAGATAGCTTATAGTTAGTACTTAGCTTGGAGGAATCATAAATTAGAAGTTGGTGCCTCAAGTGTTATGGTTCATTGGATAGAACCATAGATCTAAGTTGATGGACTAGAACTAATAAAAACGGTCCATAAGCTTTGAGAAAAGATTCCTTGCAGAACCTATAAAGAGAGTAGCTCTAGGTGTGGCAGATATTGCGAGGACTGACTACGATAAAAATTGTTCATTTCTAATTCCTCTCTACTCATGCACTCTTTGTTAGTTCTATTTACTATAATCTCAGTTATATCTCACAACGAACTGCCTAGGTTGAATTCCAACCGTAAGGAACCACAAAGAGGGTTGAAATACGGAAAAAGAATCAGCAAAATCCTTGACAGGGAAGATCACGATTACAAGATAAACATTAGACCGCATTCTCTGCAAAGAATCACGCCTCGACTTCAGCGAGAACAATGAAGCAAGGCTGCGACATCAAATAATCAATCTGGAAGAGGCGAAGCTAATAAGAAGAGATCGACGCGCTGGAATCTTCCTGTTCTGCATCTTCTTTTCGTCTCAGGCGGTGAAGTTTGGCGAAGACACCGACGAGAGGAGCGGTGTTGTAGGTGCAGGCCTCCGTCTGCATGTAGTTCCCTCTCTCGTCCCTGAACATGTCATTGCCGTCGGGCCCGCCGACGAGAGCTCCAAGGAGGACATTGGGGTTGTCCTCCCGACGGGCGTACCAGTCATCGTACCCCTGCATGCAACCTATGAAGCCTTTGCTCTCCTTGTGCGAGACGATAGAGCTTCCCCGGTGGTGCACCCGCCGGGGAAAGTGCGGCCCGAAGCCCACCAGGTAACTGAGGCCCATCGGATTGGCGCCGAGGATGTAATCGACCATCGACTTTCCGGCGGAGAGGAGCTCGGAGGGCCCGGCGGCGCCGTCGGGGCAGGGAAGCGCCTGGTTTACCCGGCGGAGGTAGTCGGCGTAGACGGTGAGGAGGAAGGTGGCGCCGGACACGTACTGCATATTGTTCCAGTGGCGGACGTAGAGGAGGCCCCCCGGGGTCCGGTGGACGTTGGATCCGTTGTTCTTGCCGAGGCAGGCGCAGAGGTAGTGCTCCGCCTTGGATCTGAACTTCTTAAGGGTGGCCTCCGCCTCGTCTGTCAACTGGGCCCGCCCTCCCTCCATCAATACCTTAGGATGCCGAGCAAAGCGACGTGAACGTAAGATATGTTTCTTTAAAAAGAATAGAGTGGGCCGGTATCTGTGAGCTCATTATGGCAGTCAGCGCGGCTCTTTCACCCTCTGTCTCTCCAACCAGCCAGAGTGGGTCCGGAGCTTGGCCTACTCTCTCTCTCTCTCTCTCCCTCTCCCTCTCCCTCTCTAACCAGTGGCATTGACCAGATCCCTGCCATGGATTAACTACTCTAGTCTCTCTCTCTCTAGATATAAATATATATGAATGTCTATCGGGGTGGTGATCTACGAGTCGTAGCCGAAGGAATGGGCCCATGCATTCCGCCTGTGAACGCTAACTAGAGCAAAGATGATCAATCGGAGAGGGAGAAGCCAAGGAAATGTTCGACAGGGAGAGGCGTGGAGCGGGATTACCTTGGCGGCGAGGACCTGAACGCCGGCATATTTGATGTCCCAGCTGAACTCATTGATGGCCCAGCCGGTGCCCCCGAGCGCGTGCCCATTCCTCAGCACATAGTCGAGGTAACGCCAGCCGCCGTCGCCTCCGGCATCGGCCATGTGCAGCCACAGAGCAGCCCAGAGCAGCTCGTCATTGTACCCGCTGATCGACGAGTAGGATTTCTTCGCTTCGGCCACGCTCCGGTCGTAGTGTCCCCGGTGCTCATCGCCGAACTGGAACAACTGTCGTGCGTGGTGTAGCAAGAGGAGGGAATAGTGGGGACTCCGGCGACGGAAGACGATGGAGGCGGCGGCCATGGCCGCCGCCGTCTCGCCAGCGAGGTCGGAGCCGGGGTGGTCGGCGTCGATCTTGTAGGCCTGCCGCGAGGTGGTCATGTCCTCGGGCCGCTGCCAGCAGTAGTGGTCGGTGTCGCCCTCCCCGACCTCCGCCCAGAGAACGTTCGGCTGGGTGTGAGCCTTGATGAAGTAGTCGGTGCCCCACTTTATGGCCTCCAGCGCGTGACCATACTCGTCGGCGGCGGCGATCTCCTCGCCGTACTCGATCACTCCCCACGCCAGCATCGTCACCGTGAAGGCCATCGGCAGCCCGAATTTCACGTGGTCGCCGGCGTCGTAGTAGCCCCCCACCAGATCCACCTGCAACACCCCCTCGGTGACCCACAGCACAGAGAGAGAGAGAAAGTACAGAGAGCGTGGAGAGTAGAGAGATGGGGTGTCTGTCTGCCCAGCTTGGTACTCACCCCCTGCTCGAGGCCATCGGTGAGGCCGGAGTGGCCGCGCCAGTTGACTCGTTGGTTGTACGGCAACCGGCCGGAGCGCTGACTCTCGAAATACAGAAGGCTCTTGGTGAGGGCGTCGCCATAGTCGAATGCCGGCTCGGGGGACGGAGATGGCGAAGGCGCTGCGGATGCTCGAGACAGGGGGAGACTCACAAGGAGGAAGAGGGAGGACAGAGAGCCGGCGGCGGCGGCGGCGAGAGAGGAGGAAGAGGGACAAAAGTGTGACGAGTTGCGGCCTCCTGTTCCTCTGCCCCTTGCCGCCATCGATACCCGCCGACCCTCCCCTTTCTTTGACGGAGCAAGAAAGAGAGAGAGAGAGAGAGAGCGCGGCGGGAGGGGAGGGCGGAAGGGAGACGAAATAAATGGCCTATGATTAATGCAGAGAGGCGGAGCCGCACCGGTGGGGTGGGCGAGATGGCCGCACGGGAACAGTCGCAGCGTTGGCCCTGATGTGGGACCCGTCGGGCCGCCGTAAGCCCTCTTCTGCGCGACGACCCACGTGGAAATGACCGACGGCTCAGTGGCATCTTTTTCCCGAGCCACTCTGGACCGAGCCGCCCGGCCTGGCCCGGCTCGGCTCGGACCATACAATAAGACCCCGTTGTTGGAGAGAGACTCCGCCCACGTGACTCGAGGCGTACCCTATTTCTCCCCCGCCTCGGATCCCAACGAGCGAGTAATAGAATTCCAACACGCCCGCACGACGAGGGCCCACTGAAATCTGACGACGTGGGTCGCCATTGTTCCGTCGGTCTGGTAAAAGAGTGTCGGCGCGCGCCTTCCCGTCATTCAATAACTTAGATTCGTCTGGGCGTTCGGCCTCCTGTCCCAAGTTGGCCTCCCCGCCGACACCCGGTCGGCTCAACTCTCTCTCGCTCAATCTCTCAATCTCTCTTCTAGAAAGTATGTTTGAAATTATGCATGGCTTAAGTGATGATCATGTTCGAGAGAATTCATCTACTGTTGGAAGTTCACAATTTCAAGTAGCCATGCCAACCCATAGTCCTAGGCTTGGTCTGCCTAACGTTATAAGAACAAGATGTAGTTGTGTAAAGTATCAATGGATAGGACGACACTTGCTAACTCCCAACACACTATGAGATAATAAATTAATATTAAATTTATTTCAGTATCCTCGAAATATCTATTGGTAAACACATTCAAACATAGCTAACCTAAAAGTGTTGGTGTTCGAGGAAAAGGTGTACGACCCCTAACTTACAAGTTCAAGAGGATTTCAAGTATCAAACTAAAGGTAATAGCTCATACATGCAAAAGATAGCAGAGGTATAACAAACTCAAAAAGATCAATTATAAGAGGCCAAATATCCACATGTTGATGTTTGCAAGTTAGAGGTGACATTCATTATGGAGCCCTAAGAGCTAAACATCACCTTATTGGTAATCAACTTTGTTGGTTAGTGATAGAATCTAGTGTGCAAGTATCAAAACTAGATGATTGAAAAGTTGACGCATCACATACTCTTAAATTGTTGGCTCCTAGTTAATCTAATAGAAGGAATCAAGAGGAGGGTAAATTGATTTCTAATTTTTATTTAAGGTCTCTAAATAAATTATTTTAAAATTTTATTTTAATTTTATGCTCTCTTATTTTTCTCTTGAATTGATATAATCAGATGTTAGGAAAGAAACACTAAAAACAAAAGGATTTTATACTGGTTTAAAGATTGTATCCTTTGTTCCACTATTTTGTTCTCTAAAATACATTTAATTTTTTGGGATCAAGAACTCCACAAATCTCTATTATCCAACTAAAAGCACAGATTTTAGCTATGCTAAGCAAGCCCATTGTAGGCATACCAAATGTGCCTCAACATTCAAATACTTTCCATCACACAAGAATAAGAATATTGAGAAGAAAAAATCAAATAACCTTTACAGCTGCCTAAAGCATATGGATACTGTTTTTTTCTCTATCAAAGGGCTGAGTTGGAGAATGCTGTCGAGGGATGAGCCACTTTAGATTTCTCTCAAACAAGAGGCTCTAAAAGTTGATTGTAGCCATAGATTATTGCAATGTCATAGTCTAAAGAGGCAAAAAACAGAGCTAAATTTATTTTTTTACACATTTGTATCACTGAAATAGTCCTTTTTATATTAAGGCTTAATGGGTTAGACCACCTACTTCAACAACTACTTTTGGCATGCATTATTTTTATGTTTAGTGTTGATGCCCTTGGTTTGATATTACAATGCTAAAATTTATTTATTGAATATTCATTGAATTTCACATATGATGTTTAATGGTCTCATGATCCTATGGTTAACAAGTGAATCTGAAGAGTTAACCATTGAGATTAATTAATTCTTTTTACATATGATGGAACTAACTTTGAAATACAACAACCTAGGTTCTATGCATGATTACATGAAATTTAATATCAACTCCAATGAGAAAATGTTTAGAATTCACAAAATATCAAAATCATGCATGAGTTTTGAACCTGAAGTAAGGACAATGATATGTCAATGATTTATGTGAGGGAATAGTAGGAAAGTCATGAAATATCAAGTTATACATGTCTTCAACCTACAATCTAAACGTTAACATGTTGAATGAAAGCTTAAGTGAGGAAACATTTGAAAACTCAAAAAATATCAAGTCACACATAATTCTCAAACCTAGGATCTAGATGCTGACACTCAAAATCTTAAGTGAAGAAATATTTGGAAACTCACAAAATATCAAAGTCATGCATAAGTTTTGAACCTGAAATTTAATTAGTAGCACATTTGAAGATTACATGAAGACAACAATTAATCAAATATTTTTCTTTGAACTTAACCTCAATAACAAGATCATTTGTTGATAAGAAATAAATCTCTAGTTCAAATTTCAAATAAAATGGACAAAGAGAATAGAGAGTTTTGAAGCATGAAAAAGGTAGAGGTCGTTGCCACATGTTTTGGATAATGAAAAGATTTTTAAAATTGATTGACCTCACTTTAGAACAAAAAATGACTTGAGAACATAGACTAAAAAAATGAGAAAACTTCAAAAGAAGAATAGAGAACTCTCCAATGACTATCTATACATTTCTCTCAAGATTCAATCACCATGAGCTTCAACTAAGTAGAAAATACTACATCAAATCTTCATTTGACATTGATAATCCAAGCAACATCCATCTTAAAGGTTGAACTTTCCATCACACCCTAAGGTACTTGGGTTGTGAGGGGAGAAGTGTTTAGGCTGACATATGAAGTACTGATAGCCAAGTTGAGTCCTTGAAGGCCGAGGTCTTTGAGGAGACAAAACTTGTGTGATTAGGTGGCTGATCTTGTAAAAAATAGTGTGTATTTCTAAGAGAAATAATAAACTCTAACATGAAGAATCCTTTGGGACTAGAAGTCATCAAGTGAGGGGAGAACAAATACCTTTTTTTTTATTTCCCTTGTGGTGAAGAGAGAACTTTGAAAGAACTTATAGTGAGAGAGAGAGAGAGAGAGAGAGAGAGAGTCTTGAGAGAGTCTGCATTAAGAAAGAAATAGCTGCGAGAGAATCTGTGTCAACACATTTACTAATAAGTAGAAAATGAGAATTAACAAAAATTCCTAGAAACTCAATTCAACCCGCCCCTTCACTCTTGGTGTTTCACTTAGCCCCATTTTTAAACTTACACACCAATGGGTCTTGCCTTTAAATGGGTCTTACATATCAAGCTGAAGCCCTTCACACAGCAATGGGTCTTGCCTTTAAATGAGTAGTGCCTAATGCTATTTTTCATACATCTTTAAGAAACAGAAATAAAAGACAACATTTTTATGATGTGTTTGGTGTATTAACTTCTCCACATTTCTGCTTCCTAGTGAATACTTGTACACTTGTTGATGTATTATGAATCTTACCACAAAGAGGTTAATCTCACTTTATTAAACCAAGGCAAGATAAATATATCATTTTCTAATTCACAAAAAATTACAATTGTTGCAAATGTTGTAATAATATTGAGTCTTTCTTTAGGTTATCATTGTCAATTTCTTAATTTTGGCATGTAGATATTTGACCTAATTAACCTTACATACCATCAAAACATTTTTGAGTTCTCAAAACTCAACAATATCAAACCTAAAAAGCCTAGTGTTACATTAATTATTTTTACCTAATTAACCTTTATGCTTGAAAGAAGTGGTGGAGTTTAATCCATAGGTAGGACATTAGGAATTTAATCTTTGTGATCTTTATCCTTTCATTTAAAGAGTTTTATAAGTATTTTTTCTAATATCTCAAATAAGCTTTTTATTGAAATGGATTGAGTAAACATTAAATGGATACATTGTGAAACCTTATTTTTTTACTAATTTATGTACTATCCTTAATTGGATTAGGTGCTTGCGTTAGGAGGGGGTGGGGTGCTTTTGTGCGGTAAGGCCCAGGATAAGACAGCGAGGTATTTGTCAGAAGGGGAGAAGAGAAGAAGAGCAACAACGAAAAGAATTCGCCTAGCTCTAAGTATTCCAAATGCCATCACCAAAGCAGTCTTCGAGATAGGGCTAAAAACAAAGTGCGTTCCGGTTTCATTCGATTTGTCGTGAATTGGATGATGGAAAAACCAGCACCGGGGCCAATAGTTGTTCTCCGCCCCCAATAGGTACATTTTGTCTGGGCTCCCCGCTCCGCCGTCACACTCCCGAAGGAAAAACGACTGCCTTTCTCACTAGTGGGCGAATCTGATTGATCCAATGACGAAATCAACACCCTCTTTTGCGCCTAACTTTACTCTGATTTCCTCACTATGAGAGCTGATCCAGGGGCTAGTCCGGCTACGATAAGTTCCTTTGGCTTTCGTCTCAGTAGGTGTATTATTCTACATTTTCTCAAAAGGACATTCATTCATTTCTTTCTTCCCCGTCGAAGTGAAGGAATAGTTGGATGAAGCAGCAGTTTCCGGAGATTGTAACCCCTAATGTTATCTTGAAAGTAAACTTGATCTTGAACCAACCAATATAGTAAACTTTCATGTCCTTGATTGGCGTCCAATGTTAATTGATATGGAATCTACACATAATGTGGCAAAAAGATTCACCCCTTAAAATATAAGTCCAATTCAAATTTGGTTCTTGAAATCGAGCTTACACACAAATTTATAGTATTTAATTCTTTCATTTTTTTATCTTTGGATGCACTAGAGAGAAACATTGATATTTTTGTAATGTATAACTGTAGATATGATCTTTAGATATTCTAAATAATGTAAAAAATCATACTGGAGTGTCTAAAACAAAATGCATCAAAATATAATCAAGAGATCTAATTAGTTTTAGGCCAAAGTGAATACTATTATCATAAACCAAGAGAATGGATGGATTTATCTTATTCGAATTATCCTTGGATTTTCAATTATTAAACAAATCCTGATGATTATAGTCGTTCAATTCCTTCCCATGCTGATTTTTAAGAGCCTAGTAATTTGGTTATAATAAACCTTTAATGATATAAATGTAGAACACCTAGGTTCATGACCCCATCCACCCAAGTATTTTCTAGAAACACTCCTAGATTCATGACTTTATGAGGCCACCCAAATTACCACCCACTTAATCTCCTCTAGCTGTGTAGTCATAAGTTTTGTTCAAGTACTAGCATTACTCAATCACAAATCAAGATGAACAAGTTGATACATACGAATTTGGTGTGTAGCTTCCATGGTGTAATTTATTTGCCTAGAGATGTGAAAGTAGTTTGTAGAGAGGAGAGTTTTGAATTCTTAAGATGAAGTCATTAATTTTTCCCTTTAATTAATTTTCCTCACTTTAAGATTTGGGTAAAATGTTCTTTATAGATAACTACTTTTTCATGAACTTTAGGCATTTTAATGGCCACAAAAAAATGGGAAACACAATGTATGAATGGCTATGACATACTCCAATGACTAGCTTAACAATCATTTTTCTTGTTTTCATACTTTATTTTTCAGTACCACATTTAATTGGTCTCTCTCCTAAGTCAACTCATGAGTGGACTACTTTTTAATTGTAAAAAGGATAAAAATATTAAATAAAAAAAATATTTTTTGAATCATATAAGAGATTTATAACTTAAAAAAATATTTCAATAGTAAAATAATTGAATATTTTAAATAAAAATTACTATTATATCTTTGAATACATTTTCCTCAATTTGGTACATGCTCACATCTGTTGTGATTTAGAGTTAATAGTTAGGATATTAAAAAAATATAGCATTACCCTTTTTTATGGCATTTGTCACCATCAACACTAATAAGGCTCCTAAATTTAAGCATTTCATCAATGTGAACAAACCCTAGTCAACTTTTTTGTACTTTAATTAGCTTTCTTTTGTCATATGTTTCAAATACTATTAGAAATGCATAATTTTACATAAATCTTGAAAAATGTCAAAAATTTATTTTAAGTTGGTTAAGATTGAAAAAAATGTGCATACTTGGAATCTTGATGGATGAACTTTTTCCAAGAGTGAGGGATTATCTTTAATTTGTTTTCATTTTATCATGATAAACCATTCAATTTTTGAAATTTCATGAATTTAATGATCAATTGTCTATCATCTAACACTTTGGTCCAATTTCATTCATATTTATAAAGTTAAAAGACTCATACTTTGTATGTTTTTTAACAATCCCATTTTGATTTATTTATTTTTTAAAATTCATGATGGCTAACCAAAAATTATTTGAAAATTCTTACACATTTATAGAGTAATGGTAATCCTTTAAAATTTGGAAAAAAAACTAAGGATATGATGGAAACATTGAAAAATATGTACAAACAGAACACAATTATTTCCAATTTGAACCAATGGGCTAAAATTAGTTTATCTAGACCAGCAACAAGCAAGCATGAAATGAGCATTAGAAAATAGAATGAACATGCAACTCTTACATCTCAAGATATTTTCTTTAATAATATGTAGTGTTGTAGACACATTAACTTAGAAGCCATTGTGAATTTGGTCTAATTAATTAGTTTGTTTTGGTCATATCTTTGAAATTTGTTAGATTTTGAATATCTTGGTCAAATTACCAATTGTTGTAAATTTTATTAAAATAATAACTATGAACTTTTAGGACCTTATTAGATATTGGTATCATTTAAAGTGGTGGGCATGAGCTTTGTGGTAATTAATAAACCATGGACAACTTCGAAAATGCCAATCCTAATGCAAATATGGAGTGGTTTGATGTTGATTTGACCTTTTTAGTAGTGGTAGATCAATTTCTAGAAATATCTACTTGGATACTTCAAGTTGTGTAAATATAGGTCCACATACAAGTATTGTCAATTCTCTTGGACTTGTGAGCATTAATTGGTGCATATAAGTGTGGGCCATCAAAAATATGAAATTTGATATCAAGTAGAAAAGGATAATATGCTTTCCAAAGCATACATAGTTTGTGCTGCTTGTGAGTGTTTTGAGTGTTGGTATAATTTTTTGTGGTAGTTGAAAATCATTGAAGTGGATGAATTTGGACTCAATAAACACTAATGAACATATTGCTGTGGGTGAAATTCAGCTTAACTGGGTGAAATCAAATATTTCTTAGGGGCAGCTTATTTATATGTTATTTATATATTCTGTAAGTCAACATATTTAGAATTTAAATATAAAAGAAATACTTCTTCCTTTGATGAGGGCGGTCAATCTTGTAAAGCTCACCGCGAAGTATCAGAAGCGGAAGTACGGGTAGGACATCGAGAGAAGGGAAACAATCCCTCGCTGACGGAACGTTCCTCTGACCGTGTTCTTCTTCCCCCTTCCTACCCCGCTCCTGTCGTTCTCTAATGGCGGGACCTCGGCGATCTTCCTTGCTTCTTTTTCCGTTTGTGTTATTCATGCTTCTTTTGTGGAGGGGGAGGTGCTCCACGGAACAGAAACTCGGCCGCCGGTCTCCTCCCACAGACGGCGGTTTCTGCGATCAGCTGATTCGCCCTCTTGGCTACGCCTGCACTGAGCACGTGGTATGAAAGAAGATGAAGTGCCTATTCTCTTTCTGGAATTTTTTTGACGGTATAATTCATGGAAACGGAGATGATTCTGCTGTTACTTGGTTTCTACCCTTCTCATCTGGCTTTTGGACGTGGTTCGTTCGATATGGCTACTTCCTATCTTCAATTATCATGTTTTAGGTGTTCTCACACTAGCTAATAATTGGAGGAGGTGGTGGATGTGTTTTAATGTTATAAACCACCATATTGCCTTCCCAGAAATATTTTATGACGTTAATGACCATTCTGGATATTATACACATAGAGCGACATACAATTCAATCCAGCCTTATCCACGATTGGTTGACTTCGTATCATTGATTGTGCTATAGTTTTATATTTTAGGGTGAGTTCAACTAACATATTGTTGGCTATCTTTGCTTTTGCGCCATATTTTGTTGGGCTAGACCGTCCGCACGTCCACTGAAATGGTGTCCTTATATTTTCGGATCATTTTTGGTTTACGTTCTGCACGTGTGCTTACTAATTGGATATTTATATGCACTTCATTCCTTACGGACGGTCTTGCTCCTTATCTTAGTCTCCTCTGTAGAAGTAACAGCTGTGGTTTCTCTTTGGGCGATATCTTTTTTCTAATCAATTACATTTTCTATGATTCAAAGTCTGTTTAAATTTTCTTTGACAAGCCTGTATTTTTATGACTCCATATCCTTCCTGCTGCTTCATTCTGCATGTTCTTATTCTTGTTTCGTCATGATATTGATGGACGACAGGCATTAGACAGATATATCCATGTAGCGATTATTTTATCAGCAGGAACAGTACTACCGTTTTCTTATGGCGCCAGGAAGCTCATTCGTTTTCTTATGTGCAAGGGCTTTGCCCGTGTTGTCAATCAATCGACGCCCATCAGTTTTTGATTTTCTAGATCTTGTAGACCCTGAAGAATTGCTTAGAGTAAACAGTGACTGGGAATATGGGACATTTTTAGCCAGTGACATCATTTTGTCCAATGTTAAGTTGGGCGAAGGCTACTGGATTGGGTAAGTAGGCGTCTGAGGTGAGCATGGTGAACAACTGCACAATGATGAGATTTCCACTTGCTTGACCTTTTGAATTCCTTACTTCAGAGTAAGTTTTCTGTAGTCGTTGCCCGATAATATAGATATTCTAGTTTTCAATGTTGTTCAAATGATGTTCTTGGGGAATCATTGTCAGGTCCAAACAGATGATGGTTTTCTTTTGGCTGTTCAACGAATTCAAGATGGGAAGAATACCCAGAAATTTGGGTCACCTCGCCCGGTTTTTCTTCAGCATGGACTATTTCAGGTAGCTGTTAGTTGATCTAGGTGGAATTTCCTACTTGCTTTCACATCTCACTCGTTTGATCATGATTCTATCATATAGTAGTCATGTTCAAGGCTCCTTTATCAAACCTCCTCTCTCCCCGTTCTGCATGTCATTATCACAAGTTTAAGGGCCTGTTAAAACTCCATTTCTTTTTTGGGGGCATGGACTGATTGCCAAGTGCTGATATGGGTGCAAGTCGGACAGTCCTACTGACACTGAGAGATGTAAAAGTTGGACGGCTGGACAAATATATCCATCTTCTCATTTATATGCCAAATAAATTAAACTGATAAAATTATGGTAGAGACTCACGGAAAACGTTGCTGTTGATTTCCAAAAGGTACATTTCTAAAATGTTTCTCTCATTGACTAAATGTATCTAAGCGTGGAAAGTTGAAATTCCTGGATCTGAAGCTAGGAGATTTCATGTTTATCCTACCGCGCTTATGGACGAAAAATTAAAATAATTAATGATTATTCAAAGTATAACAATAAGATAGCTAAGATGTAAGAAAGCAAATCGCCGTGCTTGTGTAAGATCAACATGCTAACATCTCTGGCTATGAAGATGCCGTGTCATAAATTTATTTGATTGTAGCAACTCGGTACCTAAAGTCATAGCATGCATGCCATGTTTTCGGTTTAATAAATCATATCTGAACACTCTAAACATTGCTGACATTATCCGGCTGAAATTTTTGCATTGGTATCCCTTTATTATTGCTCAAATTTTCATTCGATAAAGCCAATGAATCCAAGCTGACTTTCAAATTTGGCACTAGTTGGAAAGAAAAGAAAGATACGTAGTTCTTAAGTCATTATTTTCTTTGTTTCTGCAGAGGAATGCATTTCTTTTATCTGGAGCTGAAGAAAAGATTATGAAGGGTGAAATTTTTCCTGTTACATATTTGTTATCTCATGAACTAATCTTAAATACGCTGGTATTAAATTATGACAGGGAGGTGACACATGGTTTTTGAACCCTACTGAACAATCACTGGGATTTGTCCTTGCTGATCACGGTTTTGATGTATGGGTTGGGAATGTACGTGGCACACATTGGAGCCGTGGACACATCAGTCTTTCTGAGACAGAACGGGTATCAGTGCAATTGATGTTTGAGTGACTTCCTTCAAGAAAAGTTACCAGTATATCGAATTTTGTTTTGGCGCTTACTCTTTGAAATATGTCCGGTTTATCAAACATTCTGACATAGGCCTTCATCTTTACTGGTTCACAGGTTTTTTGGGAGTGGAGTTGGCAAGAACTCGCTGAATATGACCTAAAGTGTATGGTTAACTATGTATACTCGGTCACCAATTCAAAAGTCCTCTTTGTCGGACACTCACAGGTTGATTATCTATTTTGAAAGTCTTATTTTTTGACCGAAGAAGGTCGTATGTTCTGAAATTCTCATCGTTCTACTTGAGGAAGCTGTCTATTTGTCGCAGGGAACTATTATGGGTTTAGCTGCCTTGACTAAGCCAGAAGTAGTTGACATGATCGAGGCTGCCGCACTTCTCTCTCCGATATCTTATTTAGACCATATCAGCTCTCAACTGGTGCTTAGAGCAGTTGGAATGCATCTGGATCAGGTATTGTATGGATCAGAGGTCATATGGGAGAAGATATATGGAGCTTTTGTACTAGCCATTCAGTAAATTTGTGCAACAATGACCACTGTTGTGTCTATGGCAGGTGCTTCTCACAATGGGTATCCACGAGCTTAACTTCAGAAAGTCTGTTTCCACTTCCGTCCGCATACTCATGATTTTCTCAATCTACCGTAGTATACCACTGTGCTTGCCAATGTTCATTGCCTATGTTTTCATCTTATGTACAGTGACCTTGGGGTTCGGATAATGGACTACTTATGCGATGGCTTCATGGACTGTGGCAACATCCTGTCGGCCATCACAGGTACACCCCACCTGTCCCCTGGCCTTCTTGCTACTCGGGCGTCCATCCATCAGCTTTTAGGTCGACATTTCATTCATTTTAATATTCTTGAATCAGTGTTGAAGCTGGTGCCCTAGTTTTGCTCGAATGTGCTATCTCCAACACTAACCTGCGGCCCCTTCCCTTTTCGGTCACCCCTTGGGGTCGGAAATAGCCCCTATATCAGCTCAAATTACAGATTTTACTTGTCTAAACACTGAACTGTTTCGAAGAGTTACGATCCTTCCGACCGATTTTTCCTGGTTCAAAGCTTCACGGCCAGCTTATATCTTACGTCCCTACGCATATCAATCAATCGTCCACGGTATTCATTGATATGAGCGATTGCCACCACCGGATTAACGAACTAAACTTGTTGAGAGGCAGTAGCTGATAAGGCTAGTGCCGCAGCTGCTGGGCCACCAGAAGAAGCTGATGCGGAGTTGATGCCAGGGTCTGAAATTATGGAGGGCGACGACTATCTGAGCCGGTGGGAGCTCCGCTCACTGTTTCTCTCTTGTGGCAGGGAAGAATTGTTGCTTCAATGATTCTCGCGTGGAGTATTATCTGGAGTACGAACCACATCCATCTTCGGTGAAGAACATCAACCATCTCTTCCAAAGTTAGTCTGCGTCCAATTCATCGTCTCTCCATCATGCGTTCCATTCCGTCTTCACCATACCTAGCTATTCTGATGCATCAGACATCGTCTGCCACCACGAATGAGCTAATGAATCTCTCTCCCCCTGTCATTTCTACGGAGATAGCTAACTACACTCGCCTGCAGTGATCCGAAAGGGCACCTTCACCAAGTACGACTACGGCGTGTGGGGCAACCTGAAGCACTACGGGCGGATGCATCCGCCGCCGTACGATCTCGCGGCAATTCCCAAGTCGTTGCCTCTGTGGATGGCTTACGGCGGCAACGATGCGCTGGCGGACACGACCGACGTAGAGCGGATGATGCGGGGGCTGAGCTCGGAGCCGGAGACGGTGTACCTTGATTCGTACGGCCACATCGACTTCATCTACAGCGTGAACGCTAAGGTCGATATCTACGACAAGATGATCAGTTTCTTCAGCTCCTGCGGCCAGGCTGCAAGCATCTGGTCGGCGTAGGTTGTGCCACACGCTTGTAAATAAAGGAATGAATGCATCACTTCCACGTGATATTGTACTCTCATTCAGAGAGATTCGTTTCAGGTGACGCCTCCGTCTTGGAGAGATCTTCGCATGCATGCACGGAAGGCCATCTGTTCCAGATAAAATCCAGCATCTCGGTTAGTTCAAATTCCAAGTTTCGCCAGCAACATGAGCATTCCTTGGTGACGAACTGGAGATCGCTGGCCCAAGGGTTTCCCTCAACTGGCCAATCCAGCGAGGGAGCCCCTAGCCTTAGATTTTAGACTTCAAATTCGGCAAGCATTCGACGACTCAAGAACTTCAAAGGATGAGATGCCATCAGACGAGGGCCAGAGCCTCGCGTCATCGTCAATAGAGTGCAGCGTGCCCATCAAAGTGCCAGAAAGTTTTGTAGTTGACCCCAAGTTCTTCCTGTGTCCTGTGCTCAATGGAGCTCTTTGCTATGGCTGACGTTGCCTGCTACACCCTTGCGGCCCACTTTCAGGTGGGAAAAAACCTGAAGCTCATCTGACGAAAGATACCCAGACTGGCGAACCCCTCCCCGCCGGAACGGGCGTATATTTCCTCGTCCAGACAGCGAAGCTGATCATTATCATCGTCAATGGTACGCACCCGCTCCACATGTACGGGTGACTTCTTCAGGTACACGGCCGCGCATTCCCTGATTGCTTTCAGGCGGTCCACGCCCTCATCAGGCTAGGGCAACATATCACAAGGGCCTCCGGGCCGTGGTTCGAGATACAGCAACGCGTGATGTGGAGCTCCTTCAGCGCCAATCCTTCGGGGGAAATGCAAGGGATTTCACCATCTCCTATGGTCTCCATACGAACCACGGCGAGGTGCTCTAGCTTCCGACAGCTGCTTGTGATGAGCCCCAGGCTCGCTCCGTCGGCTTCACCCCACTGAGCACCAGCTCCTGCAGGTTAAGGCACCGGTGCGCAGTGGCGGAAAGCCAGTAATGTGACTTATCGACCAAGCTTCACCCTCCCGCCAGGTGAAGGACCTCCAGACTCGGCCATGACGATACGCCGGAGAGCCGCCGGTCCGTAACCGGCGTATTCACTAAATGGAGTCTGACCAGACCTCGGACTCGTTGGGGAAGCTCCTCCAGCAGGCTATCCCAATTCCCAAGACATTCGATAACCTGAGAATGTGGAGGTTGGGGAAGGCGGCGACGAGAGGGAAGATGCATTCCACATGGAACCAAATGAGGGAGATTACCTTCAGTGAAGGAGCGCTCCACGGGGAAACCACGATATCGTCAGTACAATCCTCGAGGAGCATAACTGAGATCTCCTCCAAAAGGGGGCAGTGAGCGAGCATGGCGCTGATGCCTTTGGTGCCGAAGTTACAATCGACGCAGGAAAGCTGGCGGAAGCGGGAGCAATTCTTCGCGAGGGTCACCATACCGCGGTAGGAGATCTGGCGGCACGCGCCGAGTTTGAGGCGAACGAGATTAGGACAGCGGGCGGAGATAAGAGCGACGGCCTCGTCCCCGATGCTATTCATCTAGAGATCCCACTCGAGAGTCAAATCCGAGACGGCGTCGAAGCGCTGGGAGAGGGCGAACGCAACCAGCAGCAGCTGGGGGGGTGTTAGCAAGGTAGAATCGTGGCGGATGCAACCCTCCGCCGCCAGCCACCTCTTGGAGACGAGGGCGTACCTGTGTCCACGACGCCCAGCGACCGGAAAACCATCGGGAGCCACTCGTCGGGGAGATCGCGGAGGACAACCATAGGTGCCGCGGAGGTCGAAGGAGGAAAGTGGGGTGGCAAGGCTGGACGGAGCGGCGAACTTGGGCAAGGAGGCGGACAAACCCATACACGGAGGAGCGCCTGCGAAGAGACCTACAAGTGAGGACGTCAGATTCTTTTACTTCACCCACGCTCTGCAATATAACGTGGCCGTGGAGACGTAGGGTAACTCTGAGCTCACCAACTGGATCTAAGCCGGTTCAAACCCTAATCGGGTATCAAACCACCGCTTAGAGGGACTAGAGCTTTATACTGACTCCTGTTTTCGTTTGACAACATTTCCCTAACTTCCTTGTGCAGAAAGTCAAGATGAGTCAGTGAAGTTATTCCGATCCTTTACACAATTAAAAACGTAGATTATGGAATTAACGACGTTTCACTGCTGATGGCCAATTCACGGCTAGACAAATAAATCTTGGTCTTCATTGGCGTCCGAACCCCAATTTTTTTCTAGGCCTCTAATCTTTTCAGACGGACCACCCCCCTCCACCTAGAGTGAAGTACATTTCTTTTGCATAACTTCGATCTGCTCCTTCAAACTTGCAAATATATTCATCATGATTCAATATAAGATCATATCAGCCTGCAAGTGTCATGAGGGATCAGCTTCCATGCCCTCCACCTCTCAATAAATTTTTTGGAGCGTAGTGTTCATTTCCCCAAGACCTTAGTACTGTCAACACTTACTAGTTAGTGATACCTAACATCAATATGCTTGATCCTTTCATAGTACATATAATTTTTAGTTAAATGTGTAATGTTTTGGTTATCGTAATACAATGGAGTTATTCCGATAGTAAGTTGAAATTACCAACCAAACCTTTTAGTCATAATGCTTATTTCACTCCTTTTATCATTATCATATATTCTCTCTATCATCAACAAGACTCTGTTATACTATAGAATAATATGCTAACTAATATTAAAACCTAAAAGTGTAAAAACATAACATGTCACATATCTCCTCTTATCTAGATCACTAGCATAAATCAACATAGTAAATCAGCTGACTAATGTCACTACTTCTCTTCTAAAATACTAAACTCACATTTGAAGCACCTCTTAAATAACAAAGTATCCACTTTACAACTTCTTAGTAGGCCTTCCCTAAATTTCTCATTTACCAGCTAAACATATTAGCAACTTAAAAAATGTTAGGCCAAGTGCATACCATAGCATACATAATGTTATCAAGTGTGCTCACATATGGAACTTTGTTCATCAGTTATATCTCTTTCTCCATCTTCAATGAATTTTCGATAAAGAATTTGAAAGGAGCCACTATATAGTATTTTTCACATACTATTTTTGAGACAAGTATAACCGTTTTAGTGCTATGGTCTCTATATATCTCTATACTTGAAATCTTATTTACTGTTTTGAGATTTTTCATTTCAAATTGGCTACTTTATTGAGATTTCAAAAGAATAATATCTAACATGTTCTTGACAAGAATTAATGTGTCATCAACATATAGAAACATAGATAAGTTAACCATCATAATCATTTTTTATGCATAATGATTATAATCATTTTTAATATAATTTTGACTCAGCATAAGCATATCAAACCTTATGTACCACCATCTTGGAGCTTGATTCAAGCCATAAAAAAGTTCTGCAATAAACACAATCTTATTTGTCAAGAACTATGAAACCTTCTAATTGATAAGTGTAAATTTGTTCTTCTAGGTTGTCATGTAAGCACATTATCTTAGGATCTAGTTACTCTAACATTAAATCAAGTAAAGCAACAACAACGAGCAAAGCACAAATTAATATCTTGTCTCACCATAAGAGATAGTACCTCTTTGAAATCAATGTCATCTTGTTGTGTTAAATATTTTGCCACTAAATGTGCCTTGAATTTAATATCTTCACCACCTATGGTTCCTTCATTCTTCTTAGAAACTTACTTGCACTCCACAATCGTCTAACCAAGTGGTATTTTGACTAATTTTAACATCTTGTTTTTCTATAAAAAATTTATCTTCTTAGAAAACTCGCCACATATGATGCTGCCCACCACATAAGCATTCTACTTTGGCAAGGAAAGTGAACGTTCAGTGGACGTACCTAGAGGCACTCACCCCATCCTAGGAATGACAGCGTGCGGAAAGGATAGTGATTGGTTACGTGGAATCGATTCCAGTGACCGGAATTCTGTCACTTAGAAGACTTGTCTAATACAATAACTTCCTTATAAGAACATGCTTTTATCCCATTAACTTCACCTATAAAAAATATAGCAAATCATACTAAGTTAAAATACCTACTAAATGGTCTGATCATTCCTCACTATCTATTTGTCGTAATACTAGACTACCTTTGAAGGACTTGTTATGGTGCATTACTCTTTGACATATTTTCTTGGATTTCCATTATCTCCCTCTTGCATTGTAATTTTTTAAAGGCTTCACCTCTAGCTCTCCTTGTTTGTTGCCAACTTGATCTTCACTATTTGTTATTGAATTATCTCCTACTTGAACATCACATATTCATAAAAAGTCATATCTCTCTTGATTGTGAACTTGCATGATTGAGGATCAATGCACAATAATCAATATATTTTCACACCTTATGTTTGTACATATTCCATTAACATGAACTTATTCACCTTAGGCTCTAACTTGTCACCTGTGACATGAGCACAGATAGATCATTTGGAAATTATAAGTTGGCAATAATTGGAAGGAGAACCAGACTCTATCTCCTCAAAAGTTTTTAATTTAATTGTTGTAGATGGAGATCTAATGACCGAATAGCATGTTGTGTTCATAACTTTAGTCCAAAAACCCTTTGATAGACTGACCCAAGATAACATATTTCTCACATATTCTAAGAGTATTGTTTATTTATTCTATAACATCATCCTATTATGGTGTTCCTACCAAAGTGTGATGTCCAACAACACATTAAATCATACCATTGTCAAATTCATCCAAGTAAAATTTCATACCATTGTTGTATAAAAGTGCTCGATTTACTTACCAATTTATCATTCAATTAATGTCTTATGTTTTTTGAATGTGATGAACACCTCACTTTTCTTCTTGAGAAAATATATATAATTTTTCCTAAAAAAGTCACAAATAAAGGTTAACAAATAACTAAATCAGCCTTTGAGATAACTAAAACAAGACCCTAAAGGTTAGAGTACATGTAATCTACAATATCTTTACTCATGAATTGTAGTACTACACTTCACACTACATTATTCATCAAATCCAAATGCTCATATAAATCAAATTTTCTAATCTTCTAACCTACAAATAAACCATTTCTTGAGCTCTATCATACCTCTCCTATTCATATGACCTAATTGCATATGCCATAGTTGACTAGACCCATTTGAATCATGTGTCACATTGACACTATTTCTAAATTTTGTCCCATAGATGATAAAGACTGACAATCATCTTTATCTTCATCACAATCAAAACACCTTTAAGAGCTCGTAACATAGTATTCTTTGTTGAGTAATGATGCACAAACTTATCTAAAGTACTTAAAGAGATCTTCTTCTTCAACTTTGGAATATGATGTATTTATAAAGTTCTAGTGATGTATTTATACCAATTGTTGCAACACTAATAGGGTTATCATCACTTAATATCAAAATATCATTATTTACTAGGGTGTAAATAGAAAATTAGTCTTTAAGAAGACACATGAAAGATACAACTTGTATCAAGAATCCAATCATCTTCCAAAGAACCATTAGAAATTAATAAAATATTATCTTGAATAGTCTTATCTTGAATAATATTCATTGAGCCACAGGAATATTCATTTTGAATCTTTCCTTTTCCTTCAACTTTGGACAACTTCGCCAACTTTGTTCAAGTAGACGGCCACGGATTCCATCATTGCTTTCAGTCACTCGACACCCTCATTTGTTACCCCCCGCACTTCACCACAATCTTCATGAGACTACATAAACCACCCCCCAAAAAGAGCCTCCATGCTCAAGTTAGAGAGAGGGCAATCCCTAATGTAGAGCTCTTTCAGCGCCAGGCATTTGGAGGAAATGAAAGAGATTTCACTATCTCCAATGGTCTCGCTGCGACCCAGGATGGAGGCGATTCAGCTTCCGACAGCTATTAGCGATGAGCCCCAAGCTCACTGCCGTCGGGTTCACTCCAATGAACAGTAGCTCCTGGAGATTAGGGCACCGGCGCGCAATGGCGGAAAGCCAGTCACCACAAATTCGATTTGTCAACCAACCGTCGGACTCCCCCGCGTGCACCTGGTGAAGGACCTCCAGCTTCGGGAACGAGGAAATGCCAGAGAGCCCCCGGTCGTTAACATGGATCGACTCGAGCCAGACTTGAACCAGCCGTCGTACTTGGTCAGAAATCTCCTGCAGTGGAGATTTCCCGCAGCGACCAGAGGCGCGAAGCGTTGCCCATCGCAGTGGAGGTCCGCGAGAGTGATGACCTTCAGTGATGAAGCACCCCCCGGGGGGGCCACGACGTCCTCAGTTCAGCAGGGGAAGTGAGCGAACTCGGCGCTTATGCCACCTGAGCCGAAGTTACAGGTGACTCAGGAAACCTGCGGAGGGGGGAGCAGTTCCTCGCGAGGGTGACCATACCATGGTAGGAGATCCGGCTGCCTGCGCCGAGTCTGAGGGGGACGAGAATTGGACAGCGGGCGGAGATAAGAGCGACCACCTCGTCCCCTGCTATACATCCAGCGCTTCGAGTTCAGAGTGAAATCCAAGACGGCGTTGAAGCGCTGGAAGAGGGCGGAGGCAACCATATGCAGTTGGGCGGGGGCAGTAAGCTAGAGTCGGCGGTGGGTGGCCCCCTCTACCGCCAGCCACCTCGTGCAGACAAGGGTGCACACTTTCCGGAGCCTGGAGCCCATCAACTGAAAAACCATCGTCAGTCGCCAGGCACTAGACAGGAGACCGAGGGTGTGATCCCTCCGCTCTTCGCCGCACATGCCATCGGGGCTGGAGAGGCTGGAATCGAGGCCGTCGGGTTGGACCACTATTGGTGCAGCGGAGGTCGAAGGGAGGAGAGAGTGTTGCTGAGGTAGGACGGAGCGGGGAACTAGCAGACCATTCCAAGGGGGAGCGATTGCAAGGAGAGCTACGACTGAGGACGTAAAAATTTTTCATCCACGCACACGCTTTGCTACTCGACTGGCGAGCAGACAAATAACTCCTAACTCACCAACTAGAACTAAGGCTGTTGCAACTCTAAACGGGTATCAAGCTGGGACTAAGGGAGACAACGCAGCTTCAACTCAATCGCCCCCTATGCTGATCAGTTATACTATGTGCATTTGACAACATTTCCGTACCTTCTTTATGAATGGGTCGAGACGACGATCGATGTCAGTGATGAGTAATTTGGGCTAAAGATCAATACATAAGGTTCGCCAGATAAGCTGATAACAACCCCAGTTTCTGACCTCAACATGCTCACACGTCCTGAGTGATGTCATTTCATCCCGCTGCTCTCTGCGGGAGTAGCGCCGGGACCTACAGGCTCTGTTGGAGAGGCAGAAAATTAATGGACACTGAACTTTGAAGAAGAAATTTGCAAGAGAAAGCAAGAGGAGGGGACCTTCCAAGACCCCAGGAGATTAAAGACGGCTAGCCTTGTACGTCATTCATTGATAACCGTAGGATAGCTTCGGCAAATGAAGAATCCCTCCATTTGAATTTGTCATGACATTGAGCTCAAATAAAAGAATAGACCAATAAAAATTCAAATGATTAATCTTTTTATCATGACACTTGCACTCAGAATCCCTCTCTGTCATACGGCCGCATTGTCGATATATACGAATCGGTTTCTTCAGCTCCTAGCTGAAGAAACAACCCGTAGCTTGTAGGCGTGATCCCTGGGGTTAGATATCGGTTCAGATGTCTCATCTTGGCGAGATCTTCGCTCTCACAGAGGCCCTGTGCTTCAGACAAAATACTCGTTCAACCCCTATATTTGAACGTTCCTTGGAAATCGCCGCCATGTTAATTTGTGCGAAGGTCAAGATGATGGAACTGAAGTCTTCCAATACTTGCCGGTGAGGAGTAATACGCACATAATTAAAAACGTAGATTTAAAAACTGTGGCCTATTCACAGCTAGAAAGTGAATTATGGCCTTCATTGGCGTTCTGAGAACCCCAGATATATTATTTTTCCAGGAACATGAAATTTTCAGATCGACCCGCTTCCAAGAACGAGTCACATACCCACCTCTGTCTTTCAATAAAATATTCTTGAAAGAGTCGAGGCATCGGCTTCTTTACCCTCTATCTTTCAATAATTTTTTTGAAGCAGGTTGTCCAACTCGAGACCCAAGCAGCAGTTGCGGCCAGAGAGAAGCGGGAAAGAGAGAGAGAGAGAGACCGAGACAGAGACAGAGACAGAGAGAGGCAGAGACAGAGAGACAGAGAGACAGAGAGAGGGAGAGAGAGAGAGAGGGAAAGAGATCCAAAGGTCCACAAGTCATATGAAGAGGCATTACTAGTTAGCGATGAATAATGCTGTGAGAAAACTCCAAGAAGACAAAAGAATATTATGCTACCTCTTACCGAAGTTCCATGCAATATATACTTTGAGAAATGCTTTTCCCCTATGAACACAGCAGAGGCAGGCTCAGTCTTCCATGGCGACTAGCCTTTGGAGGATCTTGGAACTGATAGCAGGGAGAGATCACTGGATTAGCATTTGAGTCATTTATATCCAATAGAGTAAATCAAGATTGATCAAGACAGACGATTAACAAGACAAGCTGACATGAACCCTAGTTTCTGACCTCTAACACGCTCACACTTCCTGAGTGACTTCACGCCGCCTCTTCTTTCGGGAGCTGCGCCGGGACTTGGAGGTTCTGCTGGTCTTCGATTGGTGCTTTGGCAAGCGATCATTGGCGACCAGAGTTGGCTTCTCAGGAGGGGCCTCCGGCCATGGAGTCCGCTGCCAAGGGACTGTCACCTCCAGAGGGGGATCTACAGTCCATCTACAAGAGAAGAGGCAGAAAATTAAGGGGCACAGAACTTTGAAGAAGGAACTTGCATGTCAAGAGAGAAGCCAGCGGTTGGACCTTCCAAAACCAAGAGAGTATCCATAAAGACAGCTAGAAACCAAAAACGAGAGTTTCTGGTAGGGGCAGAAAGCAAGTTCAACATACATTCTTTCAAACTTCTAGTTGGACCATAGTCTTCAAGGAATCAGCATTTTGACGCTATTTTCAATTTAAGGTTCAACATCTGATGATATATTTTGTTACTGGTCAAAACTAAGAGGTAGAATGAGGATCACATATTGAAATCACACAATCAGCATACAAATATTGTCTTGACCTACAGTTCTGTCCATCTTTCTCAGTTTCAACGCATATGCATCTTATTTACTACGTTTCACATGGTGCAGCGTTTCTAGAATCGATGGATTTTTAAACAAACGCATCCACAACAACCTAAACTGTTCTACGTATCTGTTACCTTCAACCATAAGATGACATTCCCAGGATTTCATAAATCAAGCTTCGAACAAGACAACATTCTTATATACAGTCTATTTATTTATATAATAGAAAACAAGAAGAGGAGTAACAGCCTGTTATACTAGACTCGAGTTCATTAAAGCGTCCACCAGGTGATTTGCAGCATATTCTCTAACTCATTTCAATAAAATCTCATTCTGTTCCTGACCCAGTAGAAGTGGGACGAAATCAAACCTTGAATTAACAAGGAATGAAATCTTACGTCCTGAGTTCACAAGGATCTGAAACGGCGTCCCAATGAATCCACAAGCAGGAGGGGGGGGAGGGGAGAGACAGAGAGAGCAAATTAATTCATGGTAAGAAAGTTTTTTGTTTACAGTGCATTCTTCCATAGATAGGCAAAATTAATTCAAATCCCCTAAACAATAGGAGTTAAAAATAAAATCTGGTATCATATAAGGCGCCCTATATAAACGAAAATAGTTCTAAACCTTACGAAATGACAATGCCTTTTGGACCTTATGGGCCACCAGGAGAGCGCAATTTATTTTCCACGGCCTACCCTTCCAGGCCTCCTCGGCATCACTCTTTGGGTCTCCCCCATTTTCTACAAATCCAATCTACCATCGCACCCCACATAATGTCAGCACATTCGATTTCATGGAAGAAAATCTTGTTCTATCCCCCAACAATATTCTCAGCGTTGTTATCAAAATCATTATACACACCGATCATACATATGTATTTTCATGTCCACAACAGGTCATACAATCTTTGGCTGTAATATCCGATGGATCATTCAATCTATAATCATCGCAGATTGTAACAACCTGACTGCAACTCATTGAAAGCCAGTCAACTTAGGAGTTGATAACCCAAAATGTCAAACATAGTCACTGCAGTCATCACCAATCACTAACGATTTCAAAGTATGTTTCTAGAAAATTAAGATTTAGAGAAGGTTAATTATAGGTTTCGTGGAAACCTCGAACTTCAAGTGAAAGCATTCCTATCGTCATATTTGCACTTATTTTCTGTAAATAAGTGAATGTTACAATTTCCTAGCAACTTTTTCACAGTTCACTCCTGTAAACATGGCTAGAACTGGACAAATTTTTAGAAAGCCTAGAAGAACGAAAACATGCCGATTCCAAAAAAGACTTCCGTATTGAAGTTCCTCTGGGTTGAGACCGATCAGTTAGATCCAGCACTTGGTCCTTGTCTACCAATGTTTTATTGTTCCACCCTTGTGTGAGCCCTAGTAATTACGGTACAAGATAAGAAACATGTAATATAAGATAAGATATGATGTAGAAAGGAAGCATGAGTACCATGATTTGTTGAATATTAGCTAGTAGCTACAGAAGAGGAAAAAATAGAGATATGGCGCAAAGCCTCTGAGTTCCTTGGAATCATCATTAGTTGGCATGTATCCCTGTCCTCAACAGATCCTAATTCCTCCCTCCTTTATTTCGCCACTTGATAGGCATGTCAAAAGGACTAGATTTTCAAGAATCCACTCTGCCACGGATTAGGCTTTCTGCCTGACAACCCATAGAAGATTTCGAAAGGAATTTGTGGAAGGAAAAAAAAAAGAAAGACAGAATGAAGCAGGGTCTCTGCTTTCCTCCTCTCATCCAGAATATCTCTCCACCCCAGTCCTTCTCCAAGTGCTCTGAGGTTCTGGTGACGCTTGCATTCAGAATCCCTCCCCTCCCTTTTCCTTCCCCTAATGACTCTGGGATACCCCCTGCTGACACCCAGGATGGCTGTGTCAAGTATATGCGCAAATGTTTGAAGATGGGCCATGGCCAAGTAGCCCCCACCATCGGGGCATTGAGGCCAGATTCTAATCAGAGAATAAAAGCATTGGACTAAATCTTAGAGAAGTTCCAGAATTCCTCAGACCTTTCCTACATCCCTTCTCATTTATTGTCTCCCTTTGTCATGTCATAATTAGGAGTTTACAAAGCTGGTGCAGAAATAAAGGGATGAGAGGGGAGAAAAAGAAAGGAAACAATCATCCTTTCAGGAAACAAGATCCTGACTGATTCAAGCACCACTTTCTTACAAGGACACCATAGCCTTGGAAGTAGTCTACATTAACCAGCCAGTAAAACCAATAATTTTTAAACTTTTACAAATAATAGTAATCGTGCAGCCAAGAATGGGAGATAGATTGGTTCATGAATCATACTCATTGCCAACCAAGGTCGTACTCCAGAGCACATTCATTAGTTTTTTTAACAAATAACAGAGAACTTTATCTGCTTCTTACAGATCTAAGAATGGTTCCGACAAATATACGAGCCATGACTGTATTATGAATGCAATCAACATGAAAAAAGGAGAAAACATTAAGGAAATGAATTTAACAATAAATCAGATTTTTTTTAAAGAAATAATTTGACCATTGCTGTGAATAATGACCATGCCTCCACTAAGATTTCATTTTATTGATTATTGATATTGGTATAAATGGTCTATCCTCAAACAGTAAGCGTAGAAAACAATCAGAATGTCAATGTTAGAAAGATCTAGATAAGCCTAGCCATTATTTAGGATGTACTCGCCTAGTCTTGCTAGAAACACCGGGAATACAGTGAGATCACATCCCTATGCCTTCGATGAGCGAGAGGACTGGTTTGATGCACAATGTGCTCTTTTCTAGGTATCATCGTAACTACACAAATATCACTAGAATAAATATCATCTCACCAATCATGAACAACCTTTTCAAAACTTGCATTTTTTAATTTTTTTATTCTATGTTTTGAACATCACTACATCCTGATACAAAAAAAAACTTCAAAATACATTGCACAACGAGATTGTAATCAACCTCATATAATCAGACGTAATGATTTAAACAGATTTCATGTCTTAGTTCCTTCGAACATAGGCACAGGACAAAAGCAGGAGTAAGCAATAGAAAGGAGTAAGCTCCTTTCTAGAAGGCAAACAGGACAGCAAGTAACAAGCCCAAGAAACGTAGTACAGATTAATGTCTATGTGATGCATAATTTAGCATTTCTGTGAGCAATTATACCAGTCAGACGGAGATTAATTACAGAATACCTCTAACGATTTAAAATAAAAACAAATAAACAATGCCCTAGTCTAACACTTTGGCAAGTAGAGAAGGAATGCAAGAAACAAACCCTGGTGGGAACTTGCTATCTGCCCGTGCTTCTACACGAAACCACCACAGCATAACCTTCTTCCCACAGTTGCCCAGTGGCTCGACAAAGGATGCGTCCTTAACCAACACGAGGGGACACTTTGTCTCCTCTCTATTCTCATCGATCATGTCCAGATCCCAAATCCAGTCAGGCCTGCCTTCGGCGTCCTTCCACAACAGCCTTGCATTGAGCACAAACCCAGCCCATTCCAGGTCTATTGGCAACACAACTCCCGAGTCACCAACATAGGATGCAATGTTCCTGGCATAAGGCAGAGCGTTAAATGTGTGCCAACCAGCTAACGCTCCAGAAGAATTGCACGAAGGCCCTTGAATGGGCAGCGGCGGGTCCTCTGAAGCAGCTTTATCTGCCTCAATCAGTGTTGCTACGCCTTCCGTATGGCCGGAATGGGGGAGAATTCCAATGGGTAAGGCCCCCACCCATTGAACCGACTGGATCTCATCGAAGAGCTCCATGCTGTGCACATTGTTGTCGTCGATAAACACCACTAATCCCTCCATTTTCTTCTCCCTGATGATCCTGTGGTTTTGATTTCCAGTCACATCAAAATCTACATCTGCGAAAGTTGAGGTAAATTGGCCGGGATACGAGCTAGATGTCCATTACCTGAGGGCATGTAGGCGCATTCTGGCCTCCACGCGGTGGCGCTCAGCCCACTCTATAGGCATCGCGGCGTGGAAACCCACGTGAACGGTGCGGAGTTTGGAGCGTGCAAGAATGGCCGCTGTCTCGTCAGTGGCGGCCCCGCCAGCTTCGACGACGATCCAAGTGAGATCATATGGGACGAGCATGAGGGAATGCATCACACTTGTGAGGTGGAGGGTTTGGAATGTGCGAACGTATGTCGGGGTGACGGCCACGATCGGCCGGGGATTCTTCACGCCGTACTGAGCACGCTGCTCCCGCTGAACCCGCTCCAGGATTCGGTGGGCGCGCGCGACCTCCTCCGGCTTGGGGTGCGGCCATGGCCGGATCAGGATCCCGTGGCGGCCCACAACCACTCGGCTGGCGCTCCTGACGGTGGCGCCACCGAGGCTCTGATTATGCCCCAAATTAGGAGGAGGCGGCCGCGAAGGAGGAAACGGGAGGGTGGTAAACCCAATGGAGGAGACGGATGGCGAGGAGAAGGGGTTGGAGATGAGGAGGAAGAAGAAGAGGCGGGAAACGCGGAAGCCAAGGACGAGGCAGACGCAGCAGCTGATGCTGTGCACGAGAAACCAAAATCCGGCTGCTGGGTACTTGGAGACTACGGGCGTGTCCGCAGCGAGTGGGATGGGGCAGCCGTCCAACGGCGACCCCCCGGCAACTCCGCCCCCACCCCGTAAGCTGCTGCTGCGGCGGGCGGCATTGTAGTGCTGCTGCACGGTCGATTGCTTCATCCCTGCTCTTCCCGTTCTCCCTCGCCCCGAAATCCCCCTTCAGACCCCATTCGCCATCCCCGGTCGCCGCGCGAGTTCCCAGCGTCTGCTTGTTGTGACAGAGAAATAGGGAGAGAGAGAGAGAGAGAGTGAGCGATTAAGCTACCATGTTAGCGGTCCTATTCGCAGTAGACGGCAGTACCCCTCCTTTCTGGCACCCTCGTGTCATCGGGATCCGAGCCTGCCTAACCATACCTAATGCCTCCATGAATAAGTAAACGCCTCGATCATGGTAACGTCGTCAAGCGATCTCCAGTAGAAGACCCCGAGACGTAAGGAGGCATTAATGTCCAATAATTTCCTCCACCTTTATTGCCGCGAATTTTCTGAATTTCTCCGAAGAAATAACTCTTTCAATCAGAAAGTATTCAATCAAGTGGAATTTTATATCAAATCTGATGCTAAACCTTGGAAGTAGGCAGAGATTATCTCAATGTCCACATCAAATGAGACCCCTTCTACTAGGCCTGATCTTCATCTCAGGGTCAGTTTGACCATTGCTAGTTGTTCGAGCAGCCATTGCTTTGCAAGTTGATATGCCATTAGCCCACCATTCAAAGTATTTGGGAAGTGCCAAATGATTGGAGAAAAAGAAGCCTATACTCATTAGACATGTTGTAGTTTTTAAAGCATTGAAGCAATGGTGCTTAAACCTCCTGGTTGGTGTGCTAGGTCCATGAACCTCGACATAGTTGACCAAATATTCAATACAACACTATGAAAGTTATTGAAAGTAACACAAATCACAAGTTTATAGAGAATCTGATCTTTATAGGACATCTTGATAGTGAAGCATCACAACCTTTTTGAGTGGCTTATGGAAACTTACCAAAGAAACAAAGTTGATCGCGATTGTCACAAAAAAATGAAACCTTGTGCATGACTACCATTTACCAAAATGGTACACCAATGGTTGATTTCACATTAGAACTAAAGACATTGTTGATGTCAAAGAGTTTCAAATATTTTGATAATAACACTATTTAGTAGCTCATAAATGAATGATAGTTTTATGTTATATGAAATGTGTGAATCAACATATTTAAATCAAGTAAAATTCATTGAAGGACATAATCATTATTTTTTAAGAGTGAATTCAAATGAAATAATTGTAATATTGAAATGGTCTCACACATATAAGTGTACAAACATTATTTAGAAAGATAAGTCAAGGATGAACACAATGCAATAAATAGAGCATTAAAATTCATTGAATTCAACTTACAGGTGTTTAGAACATTACTGGACATAGAATTTCGCCCAAGGGCATAATGATCTAAGTTGAAAACTCAGCTATTTAAAATGATTTTTAGGTGCAAATTTTTATAGGAGATATGGAAAGCTAACTCAAAGATAAATCCAATGCAACAAAGGACAGATCAACATTTGAAGTTATGAATTGTTACAAATCTTGTAAAGTTATCATACATATTTTCAGTGATTTTATTAGGCATTGGTTCTTTAAGATTCACTCAACTAGCCCTTGAGATGACTGTTTGACCAAATTAGGCAAGAGCATGAAAAACCAAAAGAGGAAAACGAGAAAAGCTGAGGGAGAGCTCCACATCATCCGTCTTGTACTCCCAAGAGACCTTAAACTCTCCCTCACCTCAAAAGAGCTCAAACATCATTTCATGCCTTTGAGCATCTACAACAACAACAAAATATCAACAACTACTCCCCATCCTAAGGAGTTGTTCTAGGTCCATCTTCATCAACAACGAGATTGACAACCTTTCAAGACTATGGTGGTAACTATCAGACTAAGTTTTCCATTTTTGTATTTGAACATGTGAAAAGCATTCTAAGAGTACCTTTCACAAAATCAAAAAGGCTAAAGCCTTGATGTCTAGTGTGGTGAGATAGAACACATGAAGGTTTATTATGTTAGGGGATTTTGGTGATTTTGCAAAAAAAATCTTATTTTTAGAAATATAATACTGAAATAGACATTGTGACACCAAAAGTAGGCATATGCCAAGTGGTGACTAAACCATTGTAAAAATTTATATCTTCTTCTGTCCTGTGTACCTTAGTAGACATATCAATGATTAGTTGTAAGATACAAAACTAAAATAAGATAAATATAAGTTGATACCTAATGCAACCTCCTTGATTTGTTTAACTAGCAAACTAGGGACTCAACAATTGATATCATAGCATGCATTATAAAAAAACTTTACCATTTTAAAGAGTAGATCCATGGCTAGGACATTAGGATATCAAACCAACAAAGGTCAATCAATCCATAGACCTCCATTATTTAATAGAGATAACTATATTTATTGGAACACATGCTTGAAATTTTTTATCAGACCATTTGAAATTGATGCATGGAATGTTGTCAAGAGGGGTCCCTATAAAAGAGATGCTGAAAAATCATTGTGTATGCTAAATGACTAAATGATTAATCTTTTACAATGTGCATCAAATTCAAATGAGTTCAATTAGAAGTATTTGGAGAAAAACAATAAAAAGAATAGAAAAATAAAATTTAAAACATTGAAGGTGAATAATAGCTAAACATATTTTAGTTCAAATGAAGAAGAAGAAAAAAGGAAATATAACATTCCTATCTAGAATGTTTAAGAAAGTTCTCTGAAAGAAGAAGACTAACATATCTAGGAATAACTATAACTTGGCTGATGTTGCTAACAAAGATGAGTAATTTCATGTACGAAACAAGGTTTTTTCTTACCAAAATATGTAAACATAAAGAAAAATAAAGTCTTAAAAGAAGAAGGCAATGATTGCAGCATAGACTAAAAACAACTTGAGCTCAAATGAAGATCAAGCAAGTCTATACATGGTACACCTCTTCCAAATCCCAAAAGTAGAACTTTATATGTTTTTGATGATTTTTTTATTGCATATAAGACCTAAAAAATTGAAACTAAGCAGGATAAAAAGTAAGAAGATGAATCAAATGAGAAATTATTAAAATTGTAAGTAGAAACATTGAATCTAAAAACTATGTGAAAATTATATAAGAATCACGATTTGATTGAAAAACTATCTTCATTAGATTTAGAATATCAAACTTATTCAAAGAAAAAATAATTTAAATCTTTTGTTATCTAGGTCGATAGTGTTTTTGAGAAATAAAGGTGTAGGTTATAATTGTATTGTTAAATCTGTTTTGGTATGAATAGAAAGAGATCGTAAATTGAATTGAGACAATTTGATGATGTAAGTATGGGATAAATCTCCCTGTATCCAAGTCATCAACCCTTGGAATGTTCTTATTCAATCATCAATCTAGGTTTATTTTTGAAACTGAACTTAAATCCATATTTTCTGGATTTCTAAACTTTCTACCCATCTCTCTTTCTTTGTTTTCAATTCATGTAACTTTAATGATTAAACAATCACATCATATACTAATTTAAAACATTACTTCAGAAATCAATTTGAGTTGGACAACAATCATGTGTTTTAGAAATCAGATCATCTCGATTGATAATTAGTGTAAATAAATTTATTTTAACTTTAAAAAAATTATGGTATTATAAATTTATGAAAATAAATTTATGTTTAATTGTGTACCTCCTCTTTGCTACATAATCCTAATTTATTGTTTAAAATTATATTGTGTTGTCAAATAAATGATATTGAATGTTAGTTTGCTTCATTCAAGAGTGAATGGTTGGATTTTTAGCTAATTGGTTAGATGTGCTATCACACATAATAAAAAATTATATAAATCTATCTTAAAATATGTTAATTGTGATTTAATCGATAAAACATATGTACAAGATAATCTAGCATCTTAGGATAGAACCACAGTTGCTTGTTTCTTAAAAGACCAAGAATTGAAGTATCTTCCTAACATTAAACACAACTCATTGAAGCTTTTTGTATCAAACAAATTTCTAACAAAATTAGAATCATTATACACATTACTTCAGTTCAGTTTTCTTAGAAAACTATATTCCTAATTCTTTTGTATGAGCTATATCGTTAAAAATGCTTTTAATTGCACTTAAATATGATTTTTTTGAATCATATTGAAATTTTACACCTAAACTAATAAGAAAGATCCTATCATTCATGTACATATTTTCTATCCTATCTATTTACAATTTTTAATGAGACCATTCTTCATATTTTATTGCCATGGGTTTTCTCTTTCCCATCTATTACCAAGAGCAGAAAAGGCCTTTCCTTTCCTTCTTTTTCATAGAAATAATATCCTGCATATCTGTTTTTTTTAACTATTGCTCCTCTAGTTGAAGGTAATTGTCCATTTTTTATAAGAAAGATGCTGCCATCACATGTATGTTTCCTTAAATCATTTTAGGTGCCCACAACTACTAGCAATAGTCTTCTAAACTTGAATTTATTTGCTTTCATTCACCAATGTCAATGTGCCCCTCTCATTTGTTGGGTAGAGTGCACATGATTAACCATCTCTCATATTTGACTTAATCTAGTGTAATATCTAGTGACAAAAGAACAGAATTCTAAATAATCATAGGTCATCAAGTAAATGTGGTTTGTGTATATTGTGAGAATAGTGATCTTTCTCATCTTCCTCTTTTTTCTCACTCAATGAACCCATATGTGAGGTGTTTCACCTATATGTGAGCCAGTTTTTATGTATGTACTCTATTTTTTTGTCATTTTTGTTGTTTTCTTTATGGAACATTGCTTTTTGGTTCTTATTATTGGGATTGCCTTTCAATGAGTCTGTGGGTTCCTTTTCTGTTGTAGTTATCTTGTGTTGGGTCAATTCTAGCATTTTTGTACTATGATATTGATAACTTTTATGAGAGAGAGAGTCATTATCCTTAGTTTCTTATTTGATAGTAAACTAGGAGAATTTGGGAAGGCTCCCTATGTGATAGAATTATGTTAGATGCCAAATCCATGTTACATAACTAGGAGGGGTAATTGGGAAAAATTAGACATCAATGTTTGGTCTGTACATTCCCTTAGATAGCCCCAATCTGGAGAAGTGG